TCTAAAGTCTTAACTATGCATTGTCTAGCAATATTCAAAAATACATGAGGAACCATAATAGTTATTACAAGTTGTGTCTCACCACAGTCTCCAATTCTGAACCGGCTGCAAAGTCCTTGAACATATTCCTCTTTGCCCCATGAAGACACATTAATGAAATGGTCTGGGGAGTCTTTAATAGTGAAGCTGAAAGTGAATCGTTCAGTCCCAACATCTGGAAATAAAAGTGAAATTTACTGGTAACCCATACAATTACAGCCCTATAATGTACAATTAGACAATACATGATTTAGGAGACTTATTGTTCCCAAAGTTTACATCAAAGTGTGTATGGAGAAGAAAGGAATGACAGTCAAACAATCTAGGCAGTATGAAACAAGAATGAATTAGTAACTCGTTTGAATAGTAACTCGTTTCACAGTTACAAGGTCACTAACTTCTTCTGTCTGGAAATCCTCTTGCATCAGTCTTTGCGATGATAATCCCAACCACATTCTAAAAATAAGGTATTGGTTTAATTCATTATCTGCAATGAATTTAGGCATCACATTTAGGATTACTTTAAAGGTCTCTGTATTTTATATACAATTTTTAAAATATAATAAATAAATGAATGAGTAGTTTTACAAAGGTGGTGAGGAGGTGTGTGGCAACTTTTCTCAGCTCTTCACAGTATTACAAACTTCACAGTTTATAATTGCTTTTTTGGCTTTACTTTCATTCGGTTCTGGTACTTCAGCTGCCAGGCTGCTCCCAATGCTGAACTTTTAGCATTTTATTTAAGACCAAAAGGATCTGTGCTGACTGATGCACCAAGTGTACTAAGAAGTTCCTCTTAAGTTCCACAGGAAATTCTTTTTTATTTATTTTTTTTAACTTGAGGATGATTTCAGGCTCCTCTCCTCAACTCTGGTCATATCAAAACTTGAACCGGCATGCTAACGTTACTGAGGTAAGGCAACATTGGTAACTATATTAGCTAAAGTTAGCTAAAACCTATCGAAAAAGCCTCACCTGGTGTGTGATATTTGGGCTTAAGTCAGATATTGGAACACAGTTCTGTAGCGGAGCATATGCCATCTTCTGACCTGAAACAACAAATACCAGAAACAAGCAAGACAAAGAGAGACAACGTTATAGTTAGCTAGCTAATTGTTAGTTTGGTTAGCTTTACGCCGAAAATGTTATCCGTGTTAGCCAGTTAGCTAACGCAATTATAGCTGCGTTTGGTCGTTAAACAGCCAGCATATGGTTGTCATTAAGTTAAATTTTACGAGAAACGATAAAACACAAATAAACTACAACAAATACACCTAGAATCATATGTTGGTTAGATAGTTTTACAGTTAATGTCAGTGGTTTAACTTACCGCTGAGAACCACACACTAGTTACCAAACACAGCGCGAGCCTCTGATGAGGAGAGCACTGACATCAGAGACATGCGTAAACTCCGATGTCAATTTCCATTAAAAGTTGGATTTTACTATTATGTCCAAACGTTTGTAGACACTGGCTCGTCCAAAGTTTCTTCTTATTATTAGTATTATTGGGAAGTTTGTCCCCCTTTGTTTTGCTGCAGTGACAGGCTCTATTCTTCTGGGAAGGCTGTACATTAGATGTTGGATCATTGCTGTGAGGATTTGATTGCATTCAGCCACAAGATCATTAGAGAGGTCAAGTCCAGTGATGATGTTGGATCACAAACGCCACTAAAACTTATCCAAAAAGTATTAAGTGGTGCTCCATCACACAGATTCTACAAGCTGTGTGTGTGCATTTGAACTTCTCTGTCAGCAAAGGGTGCACCATAAAGTAGCTGAATTCGCTTATTACAAGAAGTGTCTATTATTTTTTGACATCTTGTGTGAGTCCACCTTACTGGTGTACAGTTAGAGACTGTAGCCCATGTACACTTTGTGTTAGCCATGCTCCAGACCTTAACCAGTGGCCAATTTCTGATTGTTTGCACCACCCAAATTATATCTAGTCAGCAGCATACCTGTGGTAAGACATTGACCAATGAGGAATAGATGACAACAGATGGTCTATAGTGTGTAATTGTACACCTATTTGGAGGACCTCAAAGTGGCCAGTGAGTGCAAGTATAAGGTTGATGTTTTGTGGTATACTGGATAGTGAGTGTATTTATATGTTTGAAAATGAAAGACCAAACTTATATTTTTACACTTTTTTATTGATTCAAGAGAGATTTTGCAAATTGTTTATGTACTTCAGTGGAGCCAGAAACTCATTACAGTATGTGGCAGGCCTTAAGCCCACGGAGTAGAAATTCCGCAATGACTTGAAATCTCACTGTCCCACTGTGTAGTATCATTTTAAAAACACCTGATTTCATCTTTTGAGAAGCCACACGACACATTTAATAGGCGCACGTCATACAGTGTCAAACCATTTGTCCGTCTCTATATTACTGCAGTTTGAGCAACATTTCGTGTCAGAATTAGAATATCATCACCACTCACATAAATTAAACTTATGGTAAACATATAATATGAAAACATTAAGAGAAAATATAAGATCATTTGAGGTTTATTTTTTTAATTCATTAGCTTTTTTGTATACACATTTGTACTAAATCATTGTTATTACAGTGGTCATTAAACAGGATGGTCACAAACATCTGTGCACAGGATCTCCCGTTGGACTTTTTCCTGTCCACTTCATCAGCTGAGCATCCCTTTTTGTGCGAACAACAGCAGCTACAGAAGACCTTCATAGACCTTGCCTCACCTTAGTGTTTGTCAACCTTATCTGTAAAACATGAGGGATTAAATTATTTTAAATGAAAGCCAGAGATACTCAGATCTGTGAAATTAAGAAATATAATAGAACAGTGGATCATGAAGCATTTAATGTCCATATGAAACACATTTACGCAAGGTATTACTTCAAGTGCTATGTGACTTCACCAGGGTAAACTCAATGACAGGCATTTCCATTTTACCTTTAGGGACAAACTTCAGTGAGTGGCTAAAAATTCAGAAGCGCGATAAGCCTTCCTCTGGGCCATCATTCAAAAACTCATGGCCTAGTCCATTGCCACACTTGCCACACAGAACCTGCACATAAATCCAAACATAAACCCAACAAATTACATTGTAACAGATCTCACAGATCTGTCTGTCCTACACTTTTAGTAAAAAAAAAAGGTTGTATATCATACCAAAAACAGGTTCTATCACTTGTTACAATAGCAGAATTCTTTTTGTTGATATATAAAACCACTTTTAAATTTTTTTGACATACATCAGGTTTATCATAGAGATCTAGAGAATCTAGAATGCCTTTACGAAAAAAGCCTTGAAGAACCACTTTTTTAAAGGGTGTACAATGAAAAAGGTTACTTTAACACAAGTTGAGGTAATATTGCTGAATAATATTTTATCTGAGATTATTAATATTATTATTATTATTTTACCTTATAGGCTGTGAGTGTTTCCATCATTTTGGTTACACTGTCTTCACGGATGGTCTCAGTGAAGGCAGGCCATGGAGACGAATGCTCATATTTGGACCTACTTGAAAACAGTGGGTGTCCACATTGGGAGCAAACATATATTCCTGCAGGCAACCAAACGAAAGAGAAATAATAACACCACAAGTGGAAAACCTGAGATAATTAACTGGTTTTAATGTGGGCCACTGGTCCTGGAGTAACCCCTGCCCTGCAATTTTTTTCCCTGCTGTAACGCAGCCTCATCCGCTCAGGAAGGGAGGGTTTGTTAACACAGTGTTCCCCACTCTTGGTCCAGGGGGGCACACTGCCCTGCATATTTTACTGCTCCACCTGCTTCAACACACCCACTTCACTTTGTTAATGAGCTAACTAGTTGAATCACGTGGGTTGGGAGCAGAGAAAACACCGGAATTTGCAGGGGAGTGTGCCTCCAGGACCAGAGTTGGGAAACACTGGCTTAATAAACCGATTAGTTGGATCAGCTGTGCCTGCGTTAGAGCAGGGAAACGCTGAAAGGTGCAGGGCAGGTGTACTACAGGTTCACAGTTGGGAACCACCTGCATTGCAAAAATAAACTTCATCATAACAAGATATAAAACACGAGGGTGCTCTCATTTAGATTTTACTCGTTTGTGAGAACAACGAAAGTTATTCTACACTTTTAGGCAGGCTAGCTAAGTTACATCACACATGCTAGCTTACATCATTCTGGGAAAGAGGGGAAAAACAAGTCCATGACATACCCGGTTTAAAATGGTCTCTATATGCTTCCCTCCCGAAAAAAGAACAAAAAGACATTTTATACTGAAAGAATCGATGTAAAAAAGTTTAATATTTCAGCTCACTGTGCGTGGGTCCAGATTACTTCAGCGACCAGAACACTAGGACAAAAATATTCCGGTCACGTGATCATTACACGATTACGCTAGCCTGGGCTCAAAGCTGTTATAGCCCTAATCGGCCACTAGGGGGCACCGTACCCATGTTTTCCTCGTGTTAGGATTTTACTGTTTTGATTTACGCTGTGTTGAAAAGTACCTACACATTCCTTATAATTAGTGAATTCAAATACTTTAAAGCACCCTTTGCTGACAAGGTGTTAAGTTCCGCATACAGAGCTTGTTCAGTTTCAATAGCAAAGCATAACCACTAAAATAGGACGGCGTGGAGCAGCCACACATGAGCCTAAGGTCAACAGACCTGGGCTGTGCAGCGATAGTGATGGATCGCGTCATCTGGAGTGATGGAGCACTCATACCTTTTAGATCAGCTGGATTGACGTGACATCCTTAGCAGCTTTTTGCTTTATTCAAAGAAAGCATGTAATATAGAGAGATTCACAGTAAAATAGTGCTAATATACATTTGTGCATTACCTTTACATATGACAATTTCTGTTTAAGGGTATAGACAAAGTGCTAGAAGATTAAAGAATATGGCATACAGAAGAAATGGATACAGTAAGACTTTACACCTCATTGTCAGTGAAGATAAATGTAGAAAAGATAAAGTGGTAATTAAGTTGTTTGTTGGTACATTATTTATTGCTATAAATGCAAATAGCATGTGTGATAATCCACCTTTGAGAATTAGAGATCTGTAAAATGCTCTGCAGCTCAAGCCTTTCCAGTCTTTGGGAGTGTTAATGGTTCTGTGTCGCCGCTCTGTTACTCAAATTTGCAGTAATTTTTTAGTAACTCTGGAAGCTCCAACCAGTCCAGAGCCATTCTGTGGACAATATGCTTCTGAATGGTCTTTCGGCACAGAGTCTGCAGTGATGCAACTATAACAGAAGGACAAAATGGCAAAAAGAATGGTTAAATTGTGTTACTTTACGAAAAAAAAACATATAATTGTTAATTGACATGTGTACATATTATATTTGGATTCTTTGATATTAGAGGTGGGCTTTATTAACTCAAATTTATTTTACAATACAGTGGCCCAAAAAAGGTTTTGGACATTTGTGCCATACTTAAAAATGTACATTTGTTATGTTAGGAATGTCAGAATGTCACACCAAATGGCAAACATTTTAAACAGACTATTCCAAGACATCTTTTGGCAAAGTATTCTTTTACAGCAGCTGCTGTGTCAGTTATTATTTGAGTTCAGTGAACACAAGCTCACCACCGGCATTGTAAGAAAAACAAAACCCCAAACATGTTCACCTCTGTGCTTTACAGCACCCATAGTGCAGTCTGGTGGGAATTCTTCTCCAGACTTTCACCACACAAAGAGTCTACCATCAGTTTGAGGTTTTGCTAAAGGTGTTTTTCTCTGAAACAGATATTTTGTTAAATATTTTCTGAAGTAACCTAACAAACTTAATTAAAATTTACCAATGGTTAAAGTGTACAAATACATTTCGGAGCCACTGTATCACCAATCTCAAGATGCCCAAAATATGCAAGCCCTTCAAAATAATAAATGGTTGCTTCTTAATTATATAAAACTAAACATAGGCAGAACTTTCTTGCCTTTATTGTGCAAATGCTAACTGTTGTATGTACAACAGTAGCTTCTTGATATTTCCAGACATGCAGGGTTAACCATCTAAATTACCCACAATATACTAAAATTCATATAATGAGGAAACAAAATAATACTTCATATTTCAATTTGAAACTTACAGCCATATTCCACCTGGACAATTCTGACACATTTAGTGGCAGCAAAAACATCTATGACAGCGTAGAGGGGCTGATTAGTTGGGATTCCTTTAGCAGAGGCACCCATGTCTTCACCATTGATGACAATATGCATATCAGCAAAGCCTTGCCCTTTCGGCACGTACAGTACTCCTATGCGGCTGCGTCGGGCAGTTGGAGGCAATGCATTGGTCTTGTACAGATCATCCAGGATGTGACTAAAGCGTCCAGGCCGACTCCGTCCTACCAGTTTGTCCTTGGGTATGCACACGTTCTCTATATACAAGTGGGTGTCAGTGAAGAAACTTTTGGGTCTGTTCCTTTCTTCATTTCTTCCATCTGCCGCCTGTTCTACTTCTTCATGAGTGTCGTCTTCAATAACCTTATTGTGATTTCTTGTGATTGCAAACACCCAGCTTTCTCCCTGGTCCACCAGATCAGGAAGAGAATACTCAGGAACCGTCTCAAGAGTTTGAGGGTCGCGTGCAGTCAGGCCGATCCTGAGGTGGCCACACCAGCCAAGCTCCTTGTCCTCAATCTCTAACAGGAAGATCTCTCCAGGGTTCAGAGGATGTTTACTGAAGCAGATTCCATTGGCGAAACTCTCAACCCGGGTGGCCCTGGTTCTAGACAGGTCCAGTCGCACATTGGTTCCATGAACTGGGTGGAACTCCATGAACTGCCCCAAAACAGCAGCCATTTTCAAAAACTTTAGTCTCAACAAATGTTAGCTTAGCTTTAGGAAAATGCACCAAGGACTCTTCACGGACAAAAGAGCTTCACACTTCTCTAAAAATCTGAAATCACACTTCTTCATCTTATGTCAAGTCCTGAATGCTGGCTGAAAACATGGTCCTGGTGGCATATACTTCTACCACACACCAACATGCTGTAGCTTGGAGAAGTTTCTAGTTCCAAAATCGGGGCTATTTTTAAACCACTGCATGTGTCACTTGCTGTTCAAAACAGATGGCAAGGTATGCAGAGCAGATAGGGTTGAATGGGAGGAGTTACAGCCCCTAAATAAGAATCCCCCCCTAGCAGGCAGCTGAGTGCCACCTACAGGCAAGTGCTGCTGAATGTACAGCTGTGAGAAAAAAGTTTGTGGACCCTTTGGAGATATCTGGAATTTTGTGGTAATCGTTTCTAATGTTTAACTAAGTCTGTATAACTAAGCATTTTGCAGTGCGGTGTCCTTATTGAACAAATGGCTTAAACCAATGTTACTCAATCCTGTTCCTGCCAATCCACAGCACAGTTTCAACTATTTCCTGCCTAAACACTCCTGATCCAACTCATGAAGGGCTCAAAAATCAGCTGGATCATTTGTATAGAGTCAAAGAATACCTATGGGTCACCAGGAGAAAGATAAGAAAATACTAGTTTCAACAATCATGGCCTTTGATGAAATATGCAAACCTATTTGAGTATGTTCTTAAATAGGAATACATTAACTTATACAATAACCTTCTTAAACCTCTTGAAAAGAGGATACTTAGAATAAATGGAGACCTGCCTGCCTACAAAAATGCTCTTTACAGTATCTGTTCAAGTATAATATGGCATGATGGAAAGGGATTTCAAAGGGCCTTAAGAAAAAAGCTATTTGTAGACTGTTTGTTGTTATTTTTTATATGCACTAGCATTCAAAAGTTTGGAATCAATATTTTCAGCAATATAAAACTGATTTGAATGTTCAACTGGAATCTTGCTATTAATTACCAGAACACTAGAACACTGTGAAGACATTTTAGACGTGTCCACAATGATGAACAAAGGCTTAAAAAATCTTAAATGACTGCCATGGAACATCAAGAATTTAATTTAAATACAATTATAATCCAGAATTTAGCATATTTCAAAAATGTATAAAATCTCAAGACAGGTAACTTGTATGTAAATAGGTCATTACAATGTATTTTTTAGTTCACTGTATTCACTTATTATTCACCAAAATCTTGAAATACTGGGAAAGACACATTTTGTAAATAGTATATTTAAATTCATATTGTATAAGTTATTATTGTATATAAAATAACAAAAACTGTTAATATGACAAATGATTCCAAACAGATTGTAGCCAACTAACATTACTGCATGATAAAGCAAATGCAACATGAGTTACATAGTGGAGATTTAAGAGCTTTTAAGGAGCATTATTGCAGAGCATATCAGCTGTACTTTCTTATACTTGCACTTATGCCTTTGCGCTATGAGCTTATGTACAGTGTTATTAAAAAAAAATGTTTACCCGCTCCTGATTTTTTCTATTATATGATAGGATGTGGGTCCTTTAAATAGAACCTTTCCAGCTATGTAGGTTAAAAGGTCTCAACAAGCAGCACAATATGCCAGGGTCCAAAGTAAATATGAAACGATATATCAGTTTGGAAAGGGTTACAAAGTCCCTGTTTACACCTGGTCACCTCATCCGTCTTGCGTATTAGAATTATATGTGGATAAGTCCAAGCCACATGAAAATGCAAGTGTAAACACATCCAAGACGCATTTAAAACAGACACAAATCTGATCGCTTAAACCACTTCAGAAGGTGGTCTGAGATGCATTTAAGCCACATGTTATAGCAGTGTAAATGCATCCATCTCTTTAAAAACCCTCCGTGTACACCCGAAACTCCTCCCCATTCAGTACATCATTGGGCATGTGAGCTGTGTCTGTGAGGAAGATAATCGTGCAGGATGCACATGATTGGAGACCCGGCAAAAGGAAATGCTTAATAGCAAAATAGACAGACACTACTGTGCAAAACAACCTGCAGATGAAGGGACTGAACGGATAACAAATTGGCAGTTGATTGCCATGTAACAAGTGGATTTGCATATTCCATCCCACACAGCAATCAAATTTCAGTCCAACTAACCAGAAACGCATTTGACTGCTAAGTAAAAAAGCATGTGGCTAAAATTCTATCAGGTTACAATCCAGATACTAGTCACATGAAGAACCAGGTGTAAATGGGGTAAATGCTATTTCTAAGGCTCTGAGACTCCAGGAAACCACAGTATAGTGGTGGAATCTTCCCAGAAGTGGCCAGCCTACCAGAATTCCTCCATGAGCACAGGGACGAATCATCCAGGAACAAAAGAACCCAGATGAACATCTAAGGAACTGCAGGCCTCACATGTCTCAGGTAAGCCTTCATGATTCTGTAAGCTGAAAACCACTGCTAACCAAGAAGAACACAAAGATCCCCCTCACATTTGGCAAAAAACACCTTGATGACCCCCGAGCGTTTTGGGGTAATGTTCTGTGGACTAATGAGCCAAAAATGGAACTTTTTGGAAGACAACGGTCCTGTTACATCTGGTGTAAAGCTAACACAACATTTCAGAATAAGAACATCACACAAACAGTCAAACATGGTGGTGGTAGTGTAATGGTGTGGGGATGCTTTGCTGCTTCAGGGCCTGGGTGACTTGCCATAACTGAGCCATGAATTCTGCTCTCAACTAGAAAAACCTGTAGGAGAATGTCCATTTATCAGACTGTGATCTGAAGCTCAAGCATAGCTGAGTTATGCAGCAGGACAACAATCTGAAGCACAACAGAAAGCCACCTCTGAATGGCTCAAAACGTGTTTTGGAGTGGCCTGGTCGAAGTGCTGACGTTCACAGCATCTCAACGACAAGATCTTAAAAGGGCAGTTCATGCCCAAAAGCCTTCCGATGTGGCTGAGTTAAAGCAGTTCTTCAAAGACGAATGGGACATTCCTCCCCAGCGATGTAAAAGACTGCTGTCTGGGTACAAGAAGTGTTTGGCTGCAGTTGTTGCTGCTGAAGATGGCACAACCTATTATTTAGTTTGGGCGGTGGCGGCGATTACTTTTTCCACACAGGTGATATAGCTGTTGCAAAATGTTTTTCCTTCAAAAAATGAAACAGTCATTAAAAACATATTTTTCCCTCATATTCTCTTTGTCTTGTATTACATTTTGTAGGATCTGAAACCATTTAGTGTAACAAATATGCAAAAATCGAATCAACAACTTTTTCACAGCACTGTAAAAATGTGGAGCATGCATAATTATGTCTGTTATGTTTATAATGTCTTGTGTTCTTCTACTATTACTGTAGCACCCATGGCTACATCTGTCTATCTAATACCTGTACCCTCTATTCTTTGTTGTAATGTGGGTTCCACTCCATAAAGCTTTATCTGGGCCAGAGCAGATCTCGTTTGCCCTATCTTCCTATCTAGCACAGTCTGAAGGGGTAATGCATTCATAATGCCTTCTGGGAGGCTGCTGTTACTTTCAGCAGTGTTTCTACTGTCATCTGAAATTCTGAAGTGGTGCGCCGTTTCAGCTCAGTTTTCCCTTTCGTTAGTGTGCAGCTGTAACGAGCGCCAAGCTCAGCATGTGCTGCAATGTGTTTGAGGGGTGAGCATGTTGGGGCTAGGGGTGCTTAATCTGGATTAATGTGGACCGCAGCCATGCACTGCATAATCAGGATTGGTGAGCCGCTGCTGTTGGACCATATCACATCTGGACAGAAGCTGAAAGGGGGAGGTGTTTGACTCCGTGCGCGAAAAGCCAACCCAGTTTTACACATCAGAGCGCTGTAGCGTGCTATATTGTCGCAGACTGCTAGACCAGAGCTCAAAAAACGTAGAAAAAACTACCAGTATCAGTGTGATTTCAAACCCATGGTAACTCAGACGTGTCCATCTGTCCAAACCTTCAGGGCTGAACATCCAACAGCAGCTGCTCACCGAGCGGCTTCATTCATGAGGCGAGTTTAACACTCCTAGTTTGGTTTCTATTTAGCTAACGCAGCGGCCAAAGTCTCTCTGCTGACGTCAGCTACATCTTCAGCGTTTCTGAAGCTCAGTGTTTCAGGACGATGAGCACAAAGTGCCCTCAGGATGCGCTGGGTGGGAGATCTGTATTGAAGTCGAAGTGGAAGAGTAACTGGAACTTGGTAAGGCGTTTATTTCTAATTTACCACTAAGTTTCCAGATAGTGAAAGTAATCAGACATTATGTATCTGTTCCACTTCAACAACGATTAGTTAAAGCGTCATTAATGTACGCCACGTGTCTGTTGTACCTCAAAAATTATTAGCAAACTCGTTACTGTAATAACCGTGCGGTTATAAACAGTTACACCTGAAAATTTTTTAGCAATTCATTAAATTACACCTTCTAACGGCTACAGCTCAACTAGCAAAAGCATTATTAATATACATTGCGCTTTTACACCTATCAGCACGAGTATTACAGGGTGTGACTGTTACATCTGAAAATTCATTAGCAAAAGCATAAATATATATACAATGTAACGCTTACATCTCAAAAATCATTTAGTTACTGACGGCTATGTGAAAAATGAAGCACTTTTTCAGATGGTTGTCTTATTTCAGTAGGAGTGCTGATCAAGATGAAATCTTTTTGTGGTGATTCAGAAGACCATTTATGTGACTGTAATCTCCGTAAACCCTGAAACAGAGCAATACTAAAATTCCTAGTGAAACCAGGTTTTGCTTTAAGGTTCTTCAGTTACATTCAGACATTTGCTAATATTCAGAATAATATAAAGTAAAGCTAAAACTTTATGTGAGCTAGTGGCTTCATATTGCTTGTGCATGTGTTTGTCTCTATCCGGTGCTCTGATATACACTCATGCTGCAGCATGTCTTTTTTTTCAGTGAATCCTTGTTATTATGAAGATAAGCCATGGGAAACATTTGTCTGATGTTACACTTAATCTGTTATGCTCAACTGTCTCTTTGAGGGCACATGCGATGTACTCTTCATATAAAAATACAGGAATGTATATGATTCTCCCTGGATTTTTAAACATGAAGTAGATCAAAATTGATGATTTTAAAAAAGCTGATGATTTTAAAATGCAAATTATATACATAATATGTATGAACATATCCAAACAAATTAGTAATATAATACCTCTTTAAGGAAGACTTAGAAAAAAAAAAAACACAAAACAACTCAAAAGGCCATTGTACACTTTTTCGTAAGATATCTTTGAAATGTATTACATTTCAAAAAATGTGTCACATGGAATAGCTTTTCTGTAATATTCTGTTGCTGACAATCAAAGTACTCTTGTGTTTAAACATGTAAGAAATCCAGCAGTGTCTTCTGTATTACCAAAATGCAAGCACACATTTAGAGAATGAAAGAATGTGTTATATTCTCATGTACCTTAAGCACGTTTAAACTGGCATGCAAAGAACCACAAATGAGCGCCAGCGCTTTGAGTGGTTCTTGCTGACAGGTCACTATGTCAGCAGCACAGAAGCGTAGACAGCAGCATCGAACAGAAGAGAACAGAGCTGTCCATCGACCATTGGCCTAATACTTTACCACACTATTAAACTATAAACTCTTATTTTTCAGATGTTATAATACTGCATATTGGTCAAGTGGTCATTCAGCTTAATATAAGGCCCACTGAGGCATTTCACAACATCATCAGGCGCCAGGCTATAACAGAAGAGAAATGTTTATGCCTGTAGTCCAGAAATGGGTAGTAATAACTTACATTTACTCATCTACACCTCTTGAGTTTGGAAGGGTTTTACTTGTGCTCAAGTATATTTGCAAACAAATGAATCTACATTTGACTCAGTTGCATGCTTTTTACTTCTCTGTTTGACCCGAAATTGTGCTTCTTTCAAATGCAATCAGCCAAGATATGTTTAGAGTCCAAAAATGGAAGATCCATTAGTTTTACATTGGAATTGTAAGGCGAATATTGCATGTTGTAAGGCTAATGTTGCAGGTTGAATAATTAAAAGCTTATACCTAACCAATTAGGAATTTCAAAATACATGTCTGAAGCCTCATTAAATTGCTAAGTGTTCGTAAATAAACTTGCTTATGCATTTGCTGACGCTGCATACTATCTATGAAATCTGCCACTGCTGTTTTTAGCTATGCATTGTTCTTCTGATCATATTTATAGACAATGGTGTATCATACAGTGTCAGAAATCACATAAACGAGTCTATTTGAGATTACTTAACAAAATAGCATGGTTTGAGGTTTGGTGATTTTTTGTTTTAGGTGCAGTTTTAGTAGTTTGTGCAGTGCTAATTGGTGTTGTAAGCTTACATAGCATAAACTTTATGGCCCAAAATATGTGGACGTGTCCCACCAAATGCCGCAAAACAGCCCCACACCATTATCCTCCCTCCACTAAACTGTACTGTTGCTGTTATGCATTTCTGTAGGTAGCGTTCTCCTGGCATCTGTCAAACCCAGATCCATTAATTACACTGTAAGATAGTGAAGTGTGATTCATCACATTTCCACTGCTCCAGAGTATAGTGGCAGCATGCTTTACACCACTCTGGCTGCCGCTTGGCATTGCGCAAAGTGAATTTAGGCTTGTGTGCAGCTGTTCAGCCATAGTAACCAATTTTATGATGCTCCCAATACACAGTTCTTGTGATCATGTTGCTTATAGAAGCAGTTTGGAACTCTGTAGTGAACGATGCAACAGAAGACAGGCAATTTGTACGTGTTACATGCTTCAGCACTTGGAAGCCCAGTTAGTATCTACCAGAGAGACTGAGCTGTTGTTGCTTTGAGATGCTTTCATTTCACAATAGCAGTACTTAAAGTTAACCAGGGCAGATTTTGCAGAGCAGTAATTTCACAAACTGATTTGTGGCAAAGGTGGCATCTGATGATACTGCCACATTTAAAGGTTTGATCTCTTTAGTATGACCCAATGTTTTTCTGTGTAGATGGCTTGGTAATATGCTGGATTGGAAATATGCTTGATTTTACCTTTTTTTACCAATAGTGAATAAATGGAATTTTCTACTCACCCAGTCTTGTCTTTTTAGGAATTTGTTATTTTCACTTACCTTGGATTTAGTCAGTTGCTTATAACTGAAATGGGCTATGGCTCACATGGTACTTGTTGATGGTTGTCACATGACTGTTTTTGTAGGATAGAATTGCCTATGATAGGAATTCGGATGTGACAGGTGTGTGTTTGGTCTAACAATGCTGTTTGCTTGTTATTTCATCAGTGTGTTGCAAGTGGAAGTACAGTTTTAAGGGAATTGGTCGTCTGCTGCTGCAGAATTTGTGTCACAGTGTTATATAACCAGAAGAGGTAGTCTTTAACTCACTTTTAAATGCTCTGTTTGACCCAGAAAGATAGTGGAAGCTCATTGCTTTTGATACAGCTATTCTTGCTAGTTAAATGACGGGGCTACAGTACATTTCTCCTGACAGATAATTCCCCCTTTTTCATAGTGCTCTTTAAAAAGACTTTTTAAAAGACTCTTTTAAAAGACGTTTTAGGAAGATTCTTTATCTGCCAAGGGCATAATGAAGCTATGAGCAGACTGGTTATGATTAACAGTGCATCGCTGAATTGTGATCAGTTCTTGTGTGTCTTGCGCATTATGTAACCATTCTCAAACAGCTCTAGCAGCTGATGCACAATGGCAGCGTCCTGCACCAGACAGCATGCTTTAGTATATGAAAACAGCCTCTGCTACTTACGTTTTCTCCAGGGTGGAGTGTGTGTGAACCGTGAGCCTTTGGGGCAAAATCTATTCTCAGTGCTTTATGGGACATGCATTGCTCTACCAAGCAGAAGGTGAACTTCCATAAGTAAATCCAGCCATTCAGGATATTATTTCCTGCTCCAGTAATTCGGAAACGACACGTCAAGATATCACAGGAGAAAATGTGCCTGTATTATTCTTAAATAGTCTTTAATACACATGATGACTAGCTTCATCGACTTTGTAGCCTGACAGCTTAATATAATCACAGCTGTTGCCCTGTCCTCCTTTTTTACATAATTTCAGAAAAGACAAGAATTTGCCATTCTATTTTGGTGCGCATCCAAACCTTATACTACTGTGTCTGACAGCAGATGGAGATCTGAATGCTCCTTATCAAAAGACAATCCAGCTAGTGCTTTGTATTAAAAAAGCAAAATGGCAAAAGTAATTACCCAGAGGCATTCATTCAGTCTTCTGTCAATCCTTTATATTAAAAAGGAGAATGATAATGTATGATAATCAGTGAGAATGCTATAAAATGATAGAATTATCCCATATTTATGAGGCAGTAGTAGTTAAAAGCCTTTGTCATCTTTTCCCAAAAAAGGGCTGATGTACGATAAACAGAAAGAGTGCTAAAAATAGAGAAATGTTTGTGAGGCATGGTAGTTAATGGACTTTTTTTTATTTTTATCTTTTCTTCTGACTCAAAGGTGCCTCGTGTCTCCTGCGTTGAGATAAGACATGGCAGGAAGTGAAAGATGCCCTTCTGAAGCCCAGCGTCCGGCGCTACAGCCTCGTCCACCTGAGCAACACGAGTCAGTTAAGAGGGGAATAGTCATTCAGCTGACTGGAACAGAGGGTGAATGGGACAGTCTTGATGATAATGAGCTCATTTTCACACTGGACAAGGATGGTCAGAAGTCCCTCAGCTCCACAAGCTTCCTCCCAAAGCCCAGGCCATGCTCCATGGACATCCAGACAGATGACGAATGGGGTCCCCACTCATCCATGTTCCATGTGCCCTTGTCCCCGTCTTCTCCAGGTTCTTTGGGAGGTTGCTCCTCATCCTCTGGTCTGGGCTTTCTCTCCCCCACCCACCGTCCACTGGCCAGCCTGGTGAAGTCTTTATCCACGGAGCTGGAGCTGAAAGACACTTCTTCACTCAAGCCCAAGCCTCTCCTCAGCCTGGTTAAGTCCATCTCCACTGAGCTTTCTCGCACCGAGCCTGAAGTTTCCCAGTCTAAGTCAGACTCCAAACTCAATCTGCACCTGTGGACACAGCTGACCCAGCCTAAAAACCGCAATGGGGACTCCCGCACTGCCCCCCCATCCCCTGTCGACCTGTCTCCTTCTGAACCCAAAGCAGGCTTCTTCAAAGCGGAGCTGGAAGACACCCGCCGCAAGCTGACTGAGGCCATGCACGAACCCCTCAGCGTCTTCAGCAAGATCATGCGTGAGGACAGTGTGGGCAGCCCTAAGCACCACAAAAGCACAGGTTCTATGGATTCTCTTTCCTCTAAAGGATTTGGAAGGTCAAGTGGAGACCATACAATGTCCTATGAGTGCCCTATCAGGAGTGGTAAGAGAGTGGAATGTGATGGACTGCCCATGTGTAACTGGGCTGTGAGACACCGTAAGAGATGTCCTCAAAGATCTTACCTTTCACACAGTCACCACAGCAAACCAGAAGACACAGAAGCCACACCAGAGGTGTGCACACATGGAGATGATATGCTAGATGGAGAAATAACCAATAAAAGTGGCCCAGAAGCAGAACAACCATGTTCTCCTGTCCCAAAGATGGCTCTTGGCTGTATTGTTGCTTCGTCCTACTGCTACTTCGTCTTGCCTTTGTCCCCTTATTGGTCTGGAATGTTTGTAGGCTTGGCACTGGGCTTCATGCTAGGGCTCCTGCTTATCCGATTAGGTCTGACCACAGCACAGCCACATACTGGGCACCCATATAGACTCAATGAGAACCCATATGACAGGTTTCAGAGTGAGACTTTCCAGAGCAACACACACGCACTTAAGGTATTTTTAACTGTATTTTTTTATTTTCTTGAATTCAAACACAAGACATTTTCAGAATATCATATATAGAATATCAGAAATCGTTTTGCAATACTGAAGCCTAAGTGTGACATGGGGCAAATTTACTAACATTTTGGTGACTGTCATGATTTACTAAGAAAGTGCAATTATGCTTTAACGCCTGTAAAATAATCAAAGGGAAAGTTACTGCCTTTTTTGTGAATTTTGCCTTGTTGCCTTACATTTATAATAGCTTCCCTCTCAAGGCACAAAATACTGTTTATAATAATGAAGCACCTACTTCCATTTACCAAGACTAATAGTAAATACTCTGTGCTTTATTAAATACCAGAGAAAACTCACAATATTTATTAATATTTTTGGCACTAAAATGCCTGTATATGTTTGTGCTCAGAGAGAAAATAGAGTGTTTTTCAAACCCCTTTATTTATTTTTGAAGAAAAAAACACATAAAATATCTGCTTTGCATGCCACATTATTGTTTATTTGATAAAGAAAATAAATACACACTAAATATTTTTAGCAAAATTATGTTTTAAGCTGCCTTTTCCAAATATTTTGGGCTTATTTTACAAAACTATCAAAAAGCAGGTTTTGCCTAAATAATGATCTGAAAGTTTTCTTTTCCAAATGATTGATAAAAGCACACATTTTGCTCTGCAATTCCTGCTTTACTAAAGCTAATCCTAACCTCATTACTCCTACGCGCTGTGGCTTCTGTGGTTTATGTGTGCACTGTTGTGTACTCAGTGGAATTAAACAGGGATTTCACAGTATCACAAAGCTCAGCTCATCTCCTCCAGCTGAAAATAAATGTTTTTCAAAACAGTAAAAAAAAATCACTTTTCACTTTTCTTCAATTTTTGACATTTTTTGATGTAGTGTACACAGATAAGAGGTTACACTTACAATCATATATCAAACAGAACACACTCAATAAAAATAAACAAAACATATTACATGGTTTCCAAATGGATTGCGCACAGAACTCAGAAGTTTGGTTCATCCCACCAGCAGAAAATAAGCATGTTTCAAAAAAAGAATAGAAAATAATTTTCTTCAGATTTCTGATGAAATTATTGTTATTATTATAATGAATTATTTTCTCAAAATAATTATTAATATGTTGAAATAATCACATACATTCTGTGCAAGTAATATATATATTTTTTCAATTTACTTACTAAGTCAAAATACTGAAAAAAATGAGTCATTATTTCAAGCTTATGTGTCAAGATTTGAACCTGAAACAGAGTGGGAGTTTTCCCAACTAGTGGAAACAGACATATTAAATATAAATTTTAATAATATTGAATATTATTTCATATTAAAAATCATGTGAGCCAAACACAAGGTTATACTGCGCTGCTCATATGTTATTTATGAAGTTGCGCCTGGGTTCGCTTGAATGGAATTCCTTAGTAGATGACCCACTAAACTGGCCACCCCTTACAGATCAAAGTGTCAGTAGACTGCCTGTAATTAGCGCCTCTCTTAGTAAATCTGCCCCAGATTCTTGTACTTGTAGAAAGAAAAAATACATAAGACACATATGCAGTGTTAATCTAAGCAGCTATACAAAATCAGATCCTTGGGGCTTATTTATTTATAACATAGTGTCCTCTCAGAATGTGTAGTTAATGTCTGGCTGCTGAGCATTTCATTAATGTTCTGGCCTGTGATTCATTCTGTTGAAGAACAGCTGACGCAGAGCAGCAGCCACCTACGGCCTGTCAGAAACACACGCTGAGTGAAACCTTGTCTGCCTCACTGCTAGAACTGTTTTGGAGTCAGGCTGTCACAAAAACCGTCTAAATAGAATCTTTTTGTAAATGTACATTGCAAAGTATATGAAGCATAAGTGCAGAAAATGTGGCAACACTTTTATATTTAGATCTTCAAGGGATAGTTTGAAAAATTCAGTTTTCTTCTTAACCCAAATGTAGTCAGTCAGGAAAGACGTGTTTGCTATCTCAAGTTTGCTTCAGATGAGAAAAAATAGCAAACCTAAAGCACAAAACTAAAAAAGCACGTATTGGCTGAGGGGATAAATTGTGTCAAGTGTGTAAATATTTTTCATTAGCATGATTTTTGTGAGATAAGTTAGTGTTCTGTTGGTATAGTATAATGTTAAGATCTGAGAAAGGAAGAGAAAAATGTGAAAATGTATTTCTGTATCTCAGGGCTGGATGAATGAGATGTATGCATATGATCCAGAGACCTGCTGCCCCTCCCTAATGCATTCCGTATATGCCATGCTGGATGGGTCTTGTCTTCGGCTGGACTACCCCAGAAACAGCATCCCCCGCTGGGCCACGTTCGATGAGCTGCCGCATGAGAAAAGTTTCATCCACTCTCGTACGTTCCAGCTGAGTGGAAGCAAGGTCTGTGCACATCCTGTTAAAAGGGCCATATTCTACACTTTTTTGTGTTTTATCTTTTTTCCCTGTGTAGTTAGTTCACCAAACTCTTTAATAGAAAAAAGTGATGAAAAGAGATTCACAATATGATCTCTTTAAGAGTTCCTAACGAAAGCTTCCTACTTCAGTTCCTACTTTAACTAGTTTGATTGCATGTAATTTTAATACAGTGATGCATAAATGTCATGAAAACTGTTCTTTTCACAACAGGTGTTCCTGCTGCCCCCAGTTCTGGCACGTAAAAGAGTGTGGAACAGGAAGTATCCCATCTGCATCACTCTGGCTAAAGCAGAGGAGCAAACAGAGGAGGTGGGACCGGAGACTCACCCTGAGACACACGGAGCTGAGAAATCAGCTCATCTCCCATCTAAACCCAGCCACCCCACCACACTCTACCTCTTCGGAAGAACAGGGAGGGAAAAGGAGGAGTGGTTCCATCACCTTCTCTCTGCATCTACTGTCAAAGAAGAGGGCCACTGTGAAACTACATCAGGTAGGAGCATAATGATCTGTACTACTGGAGTGATTATAGAAGATAATGACATTTCAAGTGGAAGCTTAGCAAAAAGTTACATTTGCACAGGATAATGTAGCTAACAAAAAGTGGGAGCTAATAACACTGCTTACCATTTTGCAAACTACATGCCTAAATCATTGCACACTTGCCTCTAACCACATTTGTTATCAAATCAACTTGCCTATGGAAGGGCAACATTCAAACTTCAAAATGGCTGTTGTTCATATTTGTATGCAACATACTTTTATCCATACTTAAAGATACTGTATGTCATACAGTTAGGATTGCTAAATTTCAGCCATGTCAAAACTGGGCAGGCTGGGGTTTGGGTGTCTAGTAATCATCTTTTATCAACTTTTATCTCCCATTCTGTCTTTTTGTGTCTGTGTGTGTGTGCTTTACAACAGACAGATAACTGTCTTTGGGGTGTTTTACATTTTTCTTTACACTTAATGAAAGTACACAAATAATAATATGTGGAACTCTTTAAGTGTTGTACAAATAAATCTACAATCTACTGTTTCTTCTGCCATAGCATGATACAAATAAAACTGTGAGAAAACAACTTATTATTTATTCACTCTTCTGAAGGCTAAACAACATATAAGATAAAGATGTATTTTAGTTGCTTTTTGAAAGCAGCTGTAATTAAGAAAAAACAAGTTCACTTTTCCTACCTTTTTATTCTTGAACCCTGCCACTTTGCCCATGTGCCTACTCACAAGCTATGTCTCAATCCACATACTAGTGTGCTAATTAGTATAGTTAATCAGCAGTGGCCCTACTGGTGGTGTACAAATTTGTCGTGCTATTTAGTATGGTATATGCAGTGTGAAACACATCCACATCCGTGAGAGAGAGAGAGAGAGAGAGAGAGAGTGAGAGATGGAAGGGCTGATGACTGGCACTTTATCTACTTTAATAAATGGAATGCATTTAGAGTGAGACTCAACCTGACATTGTAACATCTGGTCGACAAGTAAACCTGGACACCAGAGCTCAAAAACTAACACCTGACAACCCTATATGCAATGTCAGAAACCATGTTATCTAAAAGCTTGTTAGCTTAAAACAGTAATAGCAACCTTCCGGAAGCTTAGATTTTGTCTCTTCTACAGCTTTCATTAGCATCATAGCTCCTGTGCAGAACTAAAGAAACAGACCTCAGAAACAAAACGTCTTGGCTGCTCTATTTCCTTTGGGGTAAAGGGGGACGCTCTATAAATGTCATTTTTGGTTTAATTTTTTTTTAATCACCCAAATCATTGCCTTTTCTATCTAGATGTGTCTGGGATGCAAGAGGAAGGCTCCTGGTGTCCAGTGCAGGTCACTGGTATCTCCAGCAGGGGTAGCACTGAGAATATCTCGTCTGTGCCTGTGTTCCCTGCTGACCTGGTGGGCAGAATGAGGGAGAATGTCCTGCTGGATTACACCTCCTACATGACCTATCTCATCTGCTCAGCACACTCCAGTCCACTAGCAAGCTCCTGTCATAGCAGCACTCAAGGCAGTCCCACTGACAAAGAGCAGGTTTGCGAAAATACACGCCACGTGCCCACTGCATCACACAGATAAAGTTAATGAAATGTTCTGAAGATACAGTTAATTAATTTTTCCACCTAGTAGCACTGCGGGGAGTATGGGAATTGCTAATAAGTAACACTGTAATCCTTTAATCATTCCTGTTTTGCTTATCTTTTAATTAGAGAAGCATCTCACAGTTTCACCACATAGTCAACGATTTAAACTGCAGTTTGATAAACTATAATGTAAATAGTTTTATCATTAAGTTTACTTTTACAATTTTATTTACTCCAGAATGTATGTTATCATGGAGAGGAGACGCAGCCTGTCTGGATCAATGCCCTGATTGGTCGAATCTTCTGGGACTTCCTCCATGAAAAGTACTGGACTGATCAAGTAGCCCACAAGATTCAGCGCAAGCTGAGCAAAATAAGGGTAGGTGAAAGTTAAAAAAAAATTCTAAATCTAAAAAACACCATCTAAACTAATCTATTTAATAATTCAAATGATGTCAAGTTATTTGAAGAGGTTCATTCAAAGTGCAGTGTTTATAACATGGTCACTCTGAATCAACCCATTGTCATTTGTGAGTTTAGTAAAGTCAGAAACTAACAGCAATCAGCAAACTGGTCTTTTTGAAACAATGTTGCACAAGAGGGTTTGAGATAAATCTCTGACCCTTTAACAATTCAATTTGATCATGATACTTTGGGAAATAATTAGTGCTTTATTAAAAATTTCATATTTAACCACAATAGATTTCATTATTCAGTCATAAAAACACTGAATACGTTAGAATACAATAGAACAGTGGTTGTCAACCTGTGGGCCATAATAGTTGTAAAATATGGGTTGAATTGGTGCAGAAGTGAAGTCGCAGTGAAGTCAGCAATGTCTTTGCCAGGTTTATTTGAAGAATTTGTCAGACAACAGGTTTTATAAGGTTGAAGAACAATGATGATCATGGGAAAAATGGTTCAAATAAGAGAAAAATAGAATAAAGAATAAATGAAGGAGCTGAGCCTAGTCCAGCATTTTGTTCCACCGCTCCCTGTTCCCAAAACACCAATAACAGCCTGCTACTGTTGACCTCAAGAATATCCAGCTAATCCTCCTTCGCTGGCTGGCCTGAATGCTTCATACCTCTGCTTTAACCCTTTTTTAAGCCTGTCTTTCGTATATCGTCTGAGAGCCTCTTGTCCGATCACCTTGAAGTATTCTTTATGCCTTCCAAGTGCGCAAACTAGATAGATTGAAAAGATGTAATAGATTATATGTGCTGTTCTTCTTGTATAACTAATTACTTTTTTGGGCACAGTATGAATTGTTATCTACAACCATAACTGCCATTTGGTCACAGAGAGAGAGAGAGAGAGAGGGAGAGAGCCCCAGGATCCATGAGTCCACAGGCTATCTATAAAGAGCGCACAATTCTAAAATGATCAATGATCAGTATAAGCTAATCACAGCAAGTCTATAGATACATATAACCAAGAACAACACATGGATAACACAATAAATCTTAAAAAAGTAGACAGGATACAATTCTCTTTCAAGTACTGCTAGGGGGCTTTTGGTGGAACAAAATCTATTATTTTAAATACGACAAATATTAATGTTGCTATTATTTGCAATAATAAAAGATAAAAAATATCTATTTAGGTCAAGTCCAGTGACTGGTCAGGCAAAATGCATGTCCAGTATAATAGTCATAGATTATAGTTTATAATTTTAGTGCAAGTCAATGTTATACATTTCTCATTTTAAATTCATAAATTGTCACAGATTTCTTTGGTGATTATTGTGTTATATTTGTTTGTATTTAAAATGATCAGACCAGATAAACCTTCTTGTGGGCCAAGGAAATTTTTGTGGTCAGGTGTGTGGTTGCAAAAGATTGGGAACCCCTGCACTAGAACACTGAATACACATGCTCCTGGGTGGCCAGTGGCCAATTATTAGAAGAGGTCAGCAAGCAATTGGAAGGTTGTGGGTTCAAATCTTAGGACTGACTGAGTATTACTGGTTGTGCTCTGAACTGTACCTTGAGGCTGATGCATCACATTGCCTTTTTACACTCTTAGGCCCTATTCAGTTTTACATGAGAAGGTGGAGTAATGTAATTTTTATTTTATTATTTGTCAGTGATTTTAGTTGAAATGCGCCATGTCACTCATTTTTATAGATTCTGCACTGCCATATCAGTAAAGACCCCGGAATCTTTTACTTTCTGTAAAATGAGCCATAGAAATAACACCAGGTTATATTAATCCCATGCCAATCAACATGTTGGTAAAAACGCTTTCATGTTCTTAGGAAAATTAGTTTCTTAAATATGGAAGGACTCATAGAAGCATTTACTTCTGTTCTTTGGGGCTGATATATACTGTCCCTGAATGGTCACCCCCATCTCTTACATTTGTACTGAGATTTCTCATCCCATGTGAATTGGTCATGAACATTGTAGATGTCCTGTGGTAAACTGCCTTTACCCCACCTCCCCATGCAAAACTAATCCCATCCAAATATGGCTTTTGTGTGATTTTTGTGCTGTGTACATTTCTCTCCACAGTTGCCTTACTTCATGGATGATCTGACCCTGACTGAGTTGACCATGGGTTCCTGCATGCCCCAGATTACCAGCACATCCCTGCCGCACATCAATACTAGAGGTGTGTAAACATGACTGGACAGAGCCTCTTATAAAAGAGCAGATTAGATGTGCTCTCCCACAGGAGGAGACGGCCTGCCTCTGCATATGTGCTGTCATGTTCCTGCGCTGAGCAGGATGCACTGTTATTATTCTGGTGTAATCTCAGGCAGCAGGAGACCGTACAGGGCTATGACACTCTCTACTGTGACAAAATATGTTCTGTGTTTGTTAATCTGTTTGTACACACAGCTGTATAATGAAAGGCTGTGTAGCTGTTGAGTGTATTCAGGATTTATTATGCCTGTGAGGATTGTGGATTGGGGGGTGGCTGGTGTGGCAGTGGTGTACGTGTGTGGCGTATGTGTGTGGCTTTTGCCGATCTCTGCTTGATGATCTGCAGGCCTTATGTAACACTGCACGTCACCATCCTGCTTTCGCACTCATTATCACGGGTGTGGGGTTCATAATCTCCTGTAATTGTTTGTAATTCGTAGCCTGTCTCATCACAGTCCTCTAATCTTCTCCACTAAGACCTGTGTTAAGCTTTCCTTCACTTGATCGTTTTTATTTAGTCTCTATGTTTTTACTTATATTTTTGCACAAATGGAATGTCAGTGGTTTTCAGTCTAGTCCTCAGGGACTCCTAGATGGTCTACTTTTTTGCTCTATTGGTATATGTTAAATTGTGGATTGGGAACGACTGCCTTAGAAAAAGAACAAGCTGTTTTCTTTACTATACCTGAAAGACTGATATATGTAAATTAATTCTGTTCTGATTGGCTGCCCTGTATTGTGCCTCATTCAAAAAGCTTTAACAATGTTTGCATGGTACATCAAACTCTTTTGTTAAAAAAAGTAAAGAAAATTCACTTCACCCATATACAGACCCTTGCTGGAGTTATTACTAACTGAGTTATAACTTAACAGTCAAACAAACCCAGCAACTCCCTCCAAAGCCTTGAAACCAAAACACATGCACTTGCGCTGCCTAGGCTAGAATGCCTGAATGCTGGTGCTATCAGTTGACCCTCTTTTTGAGCCTATGTGTAAAAACGTATGACAAGGTCTGAAAAACCTGAAATCAGATTCGCCATCTTTGGCTTTTACATTATTATTTCAGGTTTTGCAGGCTGACTCACAGCAGTGCAGGCAGACCATATTTTATTTAGTATGTTTTTTTTTTTCTTCTCACTCAGTAATGCTGCTTCTTTTAGTTTTAACAAAAAAACTTACATGGTGCAGCTTAAAGAGTGTAGGCTTCAGTTTCACTCAGGCAAGACTGACATGCATGTAGTTTTGATAGATTGTTTTGATTGTTTGGTTGGATGTTGATAGTTCGTTTTTTCTTATGATTACAGAGCCTGGCAGTCATAGACACTGCTTTTGAATTTAATTTTAACCAAATTAGGTTCTGACTTAAAATTGATGACCTTAAAAGGGCCCAAAACTGAATTTTCCTCACTTTCTTGAAATTAAAACAGTTTAACATAGGACGTAAACAATGTTAATGATTTAAAATATACCTTTTACTCCCCAGTTCATGCAGTCCATATATGGAAATAGTTTGTTTGAATACGTTTGATGTCACAAAAAATGACATATTTACATAAATCCACCTATACAGCAATTTAGCTCTACCCATTCATGTTGAAGATGATATTTACATACATCTGTCTTAAAGGCACAGAAACCAAAGCCAGCCTGTTTAATTCAAGACTGCTTTTGATAAACCCACAAAACCTCATAAATGGACCTCAGGGAAAAATACAATGCAGGAGCAGCGAAGAGTATGAACCCCTTAAATTTGGTATGGAATTTTGTATGTGGAAATGCTGCATTGTTAGGACTGCTGTTGCAGGCAAACACTGCATACTGTGTCTTTAATGTATATTAGGACTGTGGCTGCAGCTGGAGATCGAGTACACAGGTGCCCTGCAGATGACACTGGAAACCAAGATTAACCTGTCCAAACTAGGCAAGGATAGTGACACAGAGGCGGTTAGAGAGATGGAGACCTACCATGTGCAGTGAGTGTGTGCTGAGTACTTTTAACCCATCTCACAGCCATCTCACCACGGGCCTATATTCTACATGTCTGAGTAGGCCTCTCACAATTATTACATTATCACCTAGGACAGTTATTTAAGATGTTCGCATTAATTTTAGAGAATTGCAATTATATAAGATAACTGCAACCATTTTCCACAGTCGTTAGATTTCATTATATGTATACTGTGTAACAAACAACATGTGAATTGGATGTGCTGGGTTGAGACAAAAAAATATAAATCAAAGAAAACAGTAAATTAATTCATTAATAAAGATAAAATAAAATAAAGAGTTTTTATAAAATAAAGAGTTTTAACTTGGTGCTCTAACATGTTTAGAGGACAGCATGAGGAATGTTTGTTAATTTGGCAGCTATGTGGCTAATTCTCGCTAATCACTGTGTCAATTCGACAGCACAACCAGGGTTAGCTAGTAAACATAGCTAGCAAGTACATTCACTGTATCAGCAAATTTGGCAACTTTAGGCTTGTATTTTAATAGTTGCAAACAATGAACAAGGAAAGACCATTAAATCGTTAATCACAGTTGTTTATATGACAATTAATCTTACGCTAGAATTCCATGATTGTGACAACCCTATCTGAGAGTGTTTATATTAGCTTAGAAAATTCTGCCTAACAAAATCTAATGGCAGCAGATTTTGTGTTGTTTCGCTATCAGTTCATGTCTTTGATAACTGATGAGGCTGTTTCTGGCTTCCCCCAGCAGCACGAGGTCCAAGCTCTCTGTTCTGGCTGATAGTGATGAAGAGTCCTCCAGTGCAGGGTCCTCTGATGAAGAGGAGGCTCCATCCACTGAGCCTCAAGGAACTCTGGGAGAGAAGGGAACTGTTCCTGGTGCTGAAAGGTGACTGAAAAAACTTGATTCTTAATGCTACAACACTATCATTCTGCTCAGCCAATGTTTTAGGCATATGTCAAACCTTTATGGAACCATATCAAAGCTTTAAAAAGTGGGCATGACTTTAATTTTACCATTAAATGGCCACATTTTTCCAGCTTTCTGGAAATAAAACACCATGATGTGGTATGTAAACATAGTTAAAGTTTCAAAATGTGCTGTTGACCTCCAAGTCTATACAATTTATGTGTGGAAAACGGTCTGTTTTGAATGAGTTGTTTATATGTGGTGTCGCTTATTTGTATGTGGATGTTTGCATGTCCATTTATTCAGCCTACAAGCTTCATGCTGAAGTTAGAAGGGCTGTTTTAGCCGAATTGTTTTTGAATGAGGCACAATACAGGCCAGCGAATCAGAACAGAGGTCATTTACATATATGAGTCTTAAAGGCACAATAACAGGAAACAGCCTGTTCATTTCTAAGGGATAAAGAGAAGTTGGAAAATTGTCATGTAAACATAGATTTTGTCTGTTTTTTGATACATAAACCCAGACAAATGACATAAGGGGACCTCCAAACAATAAAAAACCCTAGAAATATGTAAGATATGGTGGGCCCTTTAAACTAAGTGCTTCAGGAAAAGGTGAAATATTTGATAAGTAATTATTTAACTATTGATGCCTAACATTCTCAGCAATTATTCTTTGTTTTTAAGTTCATAAAATAGATGGTTCCCATGATTTCACATGGATTGACCCTGAACATAACATTCTTTAACTTATAGAGGCCAAACATCTCTTTACATAGACTTACACAGGGTACACCTTGAAACTGCTTTTTGCTCTAGATTTAGTCATCACTGACACAGATGTGTTTAATCTGTGCTTGGGCACACTGCCTTCTCACAATATTACTTTACAACATAGTCTTTTTTTTGGATTTCATGGTTCACTCAGGACAGTGTGATGAGGGCTCTCTGACTCCTCCTCCTTTTTACAGCGGTGCGGCTGTGGGCAGCACAGGCCGGCGGATTTTGAGATTTGTCGACAAAATCGCTAAATCCAAGTACTTCCAGAAGGCCACAGAAAATGAGTACATCAAAAAGAAGATTGAGGAGATGTCCAACACGCCTCTGCTCCTTACGGTCAAAGTTCAAGAACTTTCTGGAACACTTGCTATCAACATTCCACCTCCGCCAACGGATAGAATATGGTATAATCCACATAAACAGTCTGTGGTGATTATGATCAAGGTTTTGTCTGTAATCTTGAAAAGCATTAGCTAAAGGTTATATGGTACTTTAACAGTCATGAATAGGACTGCACAAAATGGAGAAAATACCATTATGTTGATGCATATTGTGATTGTGATACACCTTGCAATGTATTAATGTAATGTAATGCAAATTTCTCTATAATTCAATCATTGAGAAGTCAACATATTCATTCAGAGTGATTTGATGTGAAATGGTTTACTGCAGAGAAACTTAAAGAAACAGATTTCTGTACAGTGGTGGTAAAAAGAACCAGGGATTGAGATGTCTGCAACACTAAGCCATTTTATTTTACTAAGCATCTGCTGAAATTTTATATGTAATGTTGATAATAATAAAATAGAGTTAAAGCATCTGGCGGCTTATTCATAACCATTTCATGTAATATTTTCCTGTGAGGGAGCTTTTAGAGGCATTAAACTCTTCAGACGTCTGGTTCCTATCAGCACCACCATGAGCAATTCTGACTTGGTTCCTCTACAATTAACCATTTCACTCTGAACCACTCAATGACTTTGTTTATTCAGATTCGTTATGATCTTAACAAATTAATTATGTGGAATTTTTGAAAAATCTGTGGATTTCCCTTTAAAAACACATTGGTGAATCAGTAATGTGACATGGTTATGTACTGGCCTGTATTATTTTGACCACTTTTATTGGATTACAGGAGTAGCTTGATTCACCCACAGAAAGTCATCTAGAACTGTGATTGGTCTAGATGCTTACAGACCACAGTAAAACATCATTGCAATTGGTCAGAGGGTTTGTTTTGCGATTTGCACCTGAGATATCAGTACTGCAAAAGCAAATATTGCGATAACAACTAACAAACAATATATTGCGCAGCCTTGAGTGTCCTTTGAGTGTCCTTTGATTTTCTAAAGATTAGAAAAGAGTGTATAAAGTGTATAATGTACAAAATAAAGCATACTGATGTCCTTCTGCTCTGCTGATACGTACTAGAGAAAATGTTTTATGAATGTTTCTGTCTTACTTTCAGGTACAGTTTCTGTGTGCCGCCAAAGCTTGACCTACGAGTCAGGCCCAAACTAGGAGAACGGGAGGTGACCTTCTGTCATGTGACTGAATGGATTGAGAAAAAGCTACAGGATGAGTTTCAGGTTAAACATTTACTGTATTTTATTTTGAAATTCCTTCAAAGCTATACACAATTATTACACCCTTCCAGTATTAATGGATTTGTAGTTATTTGATTTAAACATGAAATAACTGAAAAAATACACACTGAAAAAACAGTGGCGCTGCATTGAATTCACTTGATTCTAATGTGCATAAAAGTAAAATACAACATATTGCACCAACATGATTATTACCAAAAGAACGTAAACTGAACGACAAAACTGTAACACAATATATTGCGTCCGTATATGCCTGCATGACGTGCGTACATGCGATCTGTAGTTAGAATTCAGCTCAACACTTGGCTAAAATGGCTTAAAAGATGTTTTGGGGATGTACAGTCGTATGCAAAAGTTTGATCACTCCTGGTCAAATGGTATGTTTTGTTAATTCTTAAAGCAAAAATAAGTTAACACATCCTCTACAAGGAGCAAACTTAAATATGGCTTTTTCTGCAAATTTTAGTGTACAACTTCTGTTTATTTGCCCCCCCCCCCATAGTATTTTAAATTCAGCAGATAAATGTGGATGTTCAGAAGTGTGTGTGATGTGTGCTTATTTTTAACAAAACATGTCATTTGACCAGGTGCGCTCTTGCATAAAACTTATGTTTTATATATATGGAAAAGATTTGGGTGGCTAATAACTTCTAGTATTTGTCAGCTACATTAGCTTGGTAACTCCAGAGCTGAACTGCAGAAGCAAAATTTGGACACCAAACATGTCTTGGCCGATGGGCTACATTTGGGGAAAGTGGAAAATTATGTACATTTGATTTGATTTTTCAATGAACTATTTCTTTAGTGTATGTTAATAATGACACTTTATTCTGAGTGTCTTCCACTATTTCTGTAGATTATTTTGTTACGAAATACATATTTCAAAAGATGCCATTTTTAAATAGCATAAAAATATACGCTGAAGTTACGAGGTTTGATATGACCCGCAATTATATTGTATTCATATGTATACACGTTTGAATCTAGTAAGTTCAATGCACTACTTTCTTCACTTTAGGGCAGGAGTGTACAGTCTTATCCACAAGAAGTTTTTGTTGCAACTCAAGCAGAAGCACACCTGATCAGTTTTTTACAAGACTGAGACCAGTTGATTACACATGTGGAATCAGGAGTGTGTCTGTTTGGAATGAAAACCTGTAGCCACTCTGTGCGGCCCTCTGTGGATAGGATTGGACACCCCTGGTTTAGGAAGAATAATATCATTTTATAATTTTATAAATATCTTTTACATGTTTTACAGAAAGTGTTTGTTTTGCCAAACATGGATGACATATACCTCCCTCTAATGCACTCTGCCATGGAGAGCCAGCCAGCGCCTCAGCAGAATCCAACACCACACTGTTCTACTATCAACTCCTCTGAGACCTGCAGCCTCAGCCATACTTCCCAATCAGACTAGTGCCTCATTGTGGCCACTTGTGAAAATACATCACCACCCCTTCAGTGGGTAGGTCATGGAGTTATTAAGTCCAAAAAACAACAGGAGTGGAGTTCAGACTTGCTTACATTTCCTTTTACATGATTATAAAACAAAGGCCAAGTCAGGCATGGTCTCACTATTGTATATGGGTTTACTTAATGGATCCACAGACTGTGAAGTATTTTTCTTCTTTATTTTTTAATAGATACCAAAGACTGTTTGAAAGGTTAAGTGGACTATAAAGTGGATTATAAAATAGGGACTGATACTGACCCATTTATTTACAATTTCATTGTTAAATAAATACTATAAGTCACAGAGAATATCAAGATAATTAAAGATCATGTTGCTGCTGGACTTTCACACCAGATCTGTCTTCACCTTCAGTGACAATATGTGATAAAGGAATGCTGTGTACAGTCTGCACTTTCTTTAACAAGTGATGAATAAGGATTTGCGACCCAGCTGTTGGAATGCACTCATTTAGTGACAACTCTGCTGTTGAACATTTTTTGTTACACAACAGTGACTTTGAGACCGCAGGGCACATAGGACAGGGTAAAGCACACAGTGGAAATGGTCTAATTTGATGTAAATATATCGAAATGGATGTAGTTTTTAAGGGTTTGCACATTAAAGGGGCATTCTGGACTAAAACTAGCTTTCAATACATTCTTTGTTTTGGTTTGTAATATTCTATAGCATTGCATCCCTCAGCCTCATAGGTTTGAAAGAGTTCACAATTTTATATCATTTTTCATCCATCAATGTTCTCTCATTACATTACCCACCATGCATTGCAGAAATATGTCAAACAAAAATAAGGGATCCTCTAGCAGTGATAAAGTAATGCACTGATGTAGAATCTAATAAATAAAGGGATGATAGTTTGCTCCCATTGCTAACATCTGGCTTACTTTTGCATTAATCAGTTAGTGGGGAAAAAAAACATTTCAAACAGCCCACCCCTATGTATCTGCCCAAAAGCAATTGTTGTTTTTCAAAAGTTGCTCCCACCCTCAAGAGTCTTTAGATTGGAAAATTGTGGCACCACTGTAGTAGGCATGTTTCATTTACATTTACATACATTTTTTTTTGGTCAGCGTGTCCCTTTAATAGGTTGTGTAACGATAGAAGTTTGGAATTACTTGTCATACTACACAATGCACACTTGAAGATGGCAAACAAGGCAGGTAGTGTTGTCAGATGTTTTATTCAACATTCAATAAAAAAATGGTCTGAACAATAAGTTAAATGATTCATAAATCATAATAATATAATATGAATGAAATAAATAAAAAAATATATTTATTACTTTATGGCTTGAACTAGCTAAATATCGTAATTTCTTGTCAAGTTATCTGCCTTCAAATTTGATCACCACTTTTAAGTTATGAGGCACTCTGGGTATTAGTTTAATGATTTCGCTCTGCAGATTTTTAAATTATCATTAAAATAATTTACATCTGTATTACATGGACATGTATACTTTTTACAAATTCCTACAAATGATTTGTATCCTGTCAAGTTGCACTGTACCAGAATCACATTAAAATAATTTTACACCATGTATCAGCAACAAAATTGATTTTGTATTTTTGAAAGCAGTGATTCAAAACCTTTGAAACGTAATAATACAATATATGTACAATATGATTATATCACAATATGCTTTTCTGAGCATACTGTGGCTATCACATGGTCAAGACCACTCTCCAACTATTTCATTAAAAAGAGGTTAGAAGAGTTTGAATCAGTGCAGAAAATTCAACAGAGCATAACTGGTGTTGCTTATTTGGGTGTTATGCAGTTTGTGAATAAAATACTAATCATTGCACTCATAGTGTGATGAAAATGACAAGGTCATGGTGTATTATTGTCATATTGCCCACCCCTAATCTGCAGCAAAATTGCTTTATATTAAAACTTTGGAACAGGATTGTATAGAGGCTGTTTTCTTATGAGCTGCTGCTAGAGCTGGAGTTGGAACTGCTGGAGCTATAGCTGGCCCTGGAGCCTGTCCCAGCACTAGTTCCCTCTCCGGGGTCCTCGCCTGGCCCCTCAGCCCCCTGGCTGAGCTCCAGGCTCTCGCAGATCAGGCCTATCTGCCTCCTCATGTGGTTCATGCTGCTCTGCATGCGTAGCATCTTCCTGCGAAGCGCTGCTGCAATGGTGCGCTGTGTCTGCCTCTGAGACTCGTAGCGCTGCTGTAGCTCTCTGTAGCAGTTGTGCCGCACTTGGCTGTCCCGATCCAGCAGCACTCCGCAGCCCATTGGGCACAACTGCCTCCAGTGACCGCAGGTCCGTTCATGCTCTTGGGAGTCTTTCCGCAGCACCCGTGCCCCACAGCCCGGGTGAGGACACAGCAGCCACTCGAAGGGACACGCTGAGCTGTGGAGGTACTCATCCGAGAGGGGGAAGGTGGCCCTGCAGCCCTGCTGTTCATTTCGACACTGAAAATAACAATACAGGCTATTAGTAGGGCTGCAGCGTCTCGTATATTATCTCGAATATGCAAATATTCTATTACACTAAGAAAAGACATTTCGCTTGATTTAGATTTTAATATTTTTGCACTATTTATTTTTCTTTTTAAGAAACCTTCATTAAAATACTACAAGTACTGAAAAAGTATTACTGTTAAATAATTATTAGTGGCATTACAGTGCTGATCCTTCTCAATATGTTAACCGTGATCTGATCTAATATTAAACATTTGTTTACCCACAGAACTGCCTGCGTTCGTAAAAGAGCTGGTTATTTAAATGGCTTTTCTGTGTTGGAGATTATCAAATATTTGTTGCAGCCCTAGATGTTAGGAGTATTTGACCTCACTGTGATTGTTTAGGAAATGAATCAATGCAACATGAAATGTTAAATTTTACCACAACTGGATTTGATTATTTTGAAAGCTACGCAGGAGATTGGATAAAATGTGGCCACATACTTTATTAGACATTATTAACTTCATACTATGGTTAGTTCTGACCACACAGTGTGATTGGCTAAAAAATGTTCTACTCATGTTATATCTGATAACAACGTCTTCGCCATAACTATCATTCCAGTGATTTACAATGATGGTGACAGAAACCAGGGGTCACAATGTAAATATAACCATTTTACTTACTATCTAAAATAATCAGTAAACCTACATGTGTCTTCTGGGGTCTGATAGTAGTAAAATAGTGGTAAACATGAAAAACAAAATGTTTTCTTTGGGTACTATTTTGCTCTGCATATACCACTGAATTTAAAAATACACATTTTAGTCTAAAACCTTACCTCAAAACTATCATAAAACAATGTTTCAGCCAGTCAAGCAACGTATTTGTGACCATTTCATGTAACAAGTGTATGTGATGGAGCTTTTAGAGGTATTAACAGCTTCAGATCGAAGCTGTTAATGTTCAGTCGAAACGATTCTTCATTTGTTTGGCTTCAAATAATTCACATCTGCCTGATGCTTCCAAAAGCATATGAAAGAAAAGATTTGGTGAAAAAATCAAAGTGTACACAATTTCCCACGTACCTCAGATGTAGTCGATCAGCTATAACATGTTTGGTCTAAATTTTGCTTCTTTATTTGATTGCTGACAGACACGGGTACATTTTTATAGCTCACAATAAGCCGTGTCCTAAACCACACTGAGGTCCGCGTGACTTAATGAAGACCTGGATGAGACGTTTAGAGGACGTTTTTTGTGGAAAACCTTTGGATGTCTATTGACTAGTGTTTGTTAGCAACATTAGCCTTTTAGCTTCAGCGCTAAACTATAGAAGCAAAATCTGGACACCAGGCGTGTCTTGACTGATCGACTACTTTTAAGGTAAGTGGAAAATTGTGTACAGTTTTTTTTTTCTCAAGGCTCTTTCCTTATTAAAAGTGTGTTATTAATTGGAGGGTTTCATTTCAAGACCACTTTCAACAATTTTCTTATTTTTTTCTCATGATATACTTTGCTGGGAGTGGTCTGAAATAAGATTATTAAGATTAAGATTAATGTATACTGTATTAAGATTAATTACCCTTGTTAGATAAATAAGAATGTGTTTTTCATTATACGTAAGCTGTCATTCTTAAAGTCTTTATTTTATGCATGAGCAGTTATTCAAAAACTATTTACAGCCAGAATTGTTACAAATGGATAATGAGCATTTTGGAATGGAACTGTTCAAGTACAAACTGGTGGAAATGTTACTAGTGACATCTAGTGGTTAAACTAGGTAGTCAGTTAATATGTTGGTTGTTAGCAAACTCACTTAATTGTTAAAGATTTTGGAAACTTCAGAAATCACTGCTTGCTTACACTTGCATTACTGCCTTTGGCTTGCAGTGTACAATACTAGTAAGGACCTACATCCAGCTTCCTAGTGATTTAAACTAGTAGACACCTACATGACCACTATATTGGTTTCAACAGTAGTATTATGTTCTTATGACCCTCTCATGTTACACACTGTAGCGTTCTTATCTGCTTATTCTGCTTACCTTAATGGGTAAACGGCTGATGGATTTACTCAGCTTGAACACAACAAACATGAGACTCTGACTGATCGGCTTCCTGCAGCATGGGCATGTTTCCTGCCTGGATTAAATGAAGACAGGCTGTTAAGTAAATGTCACACTGCACACCACACGCTCCACTGTTGTTCAGTAACAAAATGAACTTTGGGCAAAACTAATGAATCATCAGTAATGTTGGTGTCTTTTGTAGTTTTCATACCTCCTCATCCACTGTAAAATGCATCTCTTACAGAAGATGTGGTTGCATGCCACCCGTACAGGGCAGCGTAGAACACCTCTGCAGATGATACAGATCAGATCATGGTCAGGGGTGTCCACAAACAGCTCCACTTCATAGCCACCAGTCTGACAAACACAATAACCGACCAAAACAACATACATTTCTGGAGCATTAGCATCATGTGACTGCTTCCATGGGAAAGAAATGGATCATTATGGGCAGTTCATCAGCTTTTGGTTATGTTTAGTCTTTGACTAAATTGCTATGACAAGAGTGTTTTACTACTGAGAAACCTTTTTTTAGACATCTTAGACATCTTGGTCCAGGAAACCTACTTAAGAGTCAGTTTCCCAGGCAGAGATTAAGCCTTCACTTTTAAAAAGACGAGTCTTCAAGGGTTCTTCAGTAGAAGAACCCTTTTTTGGTGCTATATAGAACCCTTTTCACAAAGGTCATTCATCTGAAGAACTATTTCACAATGCAAAGAACCCTTTAAGCATACAAATGATTCTGTGAGTGTTCATGGTTCTATATAGAGGCATTGTCTTTACTAAAGAACCCTTCAAGAACCATTAAAGAGCTTAGCCTGTGTTCCAAAGTTGGCCCATGAGCATGTTTGATTACACCCACCAGAAAGTTACTCTGACCCCAGCCCCTCACACAACAATAAAACATACTATATATTATTTATTAACTTCTTATTTTCCTTTTCCACAATTTAAATCTACTTACATTTTATTGCTTTGTCCATTTTGCCATTGGCCCACTATGAACATTGCAAGTTTCATGCCCAAAACAAAAAGTTTCTGGAGCTTAAGTGAAATGTCAATATTACTAATCCTGATTGCAGATAATCCACCAATGATTTTTGGACATATAAATGAAACACACCAAAACTATTGCAAGAGTTTTTAGCAATTTTCAAATCACTGTCATACTGTTCTCAGTTCATGTGTTTTACGTATAAAGTATGTCTACATGTATGTATGTTATGTTAGTTATTGACATATTGACCGTAAATTGACTGTAAAGCATTTTTGAAACTGTAGAGTCTAAAAACAGAGTGTGACACTCTGCTTGCTTCCATACTTTTAGCCTGTAACGTACAATACTGGGAATGAACTAGGCCCAGTTTTCAACAGCATCAAGATTAGCCTTCCCAAAAAAACAGCTTGAGCAGAAATATTTAAAAAAGTATCAGGTCAAAAAACAGCAGTGGAACATCTTAGTAAATCAAGCAACTATCAGCACAGAAACTAAAGCATGGCTCTATTCTTTTTGGGATTCTTTTAGTCCAAAATAAAATGCTAAAGCTCTAAAGAAATGTGATCAATCACAAAGCAGTACAGAGTAGTATAGGTGTTGGTTATGTTAGATTATGTTAGTTTGTCCAAAAAATATAAAGAAATTAAACACAAAAATGAATTAGTAACTTGATATGAATGGCCAAAATGTAACTGAGTAAGAAATAAGTTCTTCAAATTACTTATATACTTTAACAGACATAAAAGTAACATGATTAGAAAAAAACTCATGAGAGTACAAACGTAAGTAGTCACTACCCACCACTGGACACAACAATTTTTTTCACAGGTTTTGAACTTTTAATTATTTTTATATTGTCAAACTAAATTAGTCAGAAAGTTAATTAACAGTTCCATGATAACTCACCATATCTCACTGTTCCAGTGCTGGAAGATCACAGCTGGCAGTGCAGTGATACATACTAAACGGCTCTGTGCTCCTAGCAGGCGCTGCCATCCCAAAAACACACAGCTTAAACATGCCCAGATGAGACCATTTGACCCTGGATGATTCAGAAATCTATTACACATTTCCATTTTTCTTTTCTTTTCTCTTCTAGCACAAGTAACAAATGTGGCTAGCACCTGACAACATTTACATCATCCAACAGAGGCCTAGTTCAGCGCCATCGAGGTTTTACTTAGCGGACAAAGGCGTTGCCATGGACACCACTGAGCTTTCAATGGCCGCCAGATCTAGAGACTACAACCTCTATTCTGTGGACACTGTTGGTCTCTGAATGGCTGTGGGGAACACTGTGGCATTTTCTGCAGGTTGACTTATAGCCTAATGCAAAATGGTATGAAATAGAAAAAATAAACTCTTTCCTTTGCTGCAATACAAAACTTGCCTTTTTGGAAATTCATACTTAAATAATTTTCCTTAGCAAAGCAGATTAGCACTGGTAATTCTCCATGCTAATGTTGTTATGTAATTGCCTAATGTACTGTCCAAAAATGTGCCTTCATGGGAGAGAAACTTGAGTGATTGTGACATGAGACATGAGAGATTTACTATAGGTTCTATACCAATGATGAAATAATTTTTTTTTACCTTTTTAGATCACGTCGCTGGTCATATTAAGCACAATTTATATCATATCATATCATATCATATCATATCATATCATATCATATCATATCATATCATATCATATCATACTATTTAAAAGACACATTTTCTGCTTTCCTGTAATCATTATCAAAGTGTATTGATTTTTGCCATCATCTAAAAAGTCTTTGTATGTTTTAATTACCTCACTGTGCACCAGGGGGTGGAGAAAAATATATTAACAGGGTCCAGTCAAAAGGAAAAATGTAACCATTGTTACAGCTGTTGTAAACATGCCTACTCACCTCCTACAGTGGTGCTACAATGTTCTGGTTTAAAGACAAGGAAAACCCCATTCAGATGGTGTATCTTGAAGGTGGAAGGAACTACAAGTGCTTTACAGCAGATATATGAGTTTGAATGCAGAATGCCCCATTAACCAATAATATCATGTTATACCTCCCTCTCACACCACTCCCACCTATCATCAAGCAAAATGCTCAGATAGCTCAGAGATTCCCCATACATGTTTCATTCAGTAATATGTCCTGGTGTAGAAGAAATTTTTTTCTCCTCATAAAAAAATTAAATAAAACAGATTGATGTAATATATAAGCATTGTTAAAGTTTCAAAATGTCTGTACAGTCCATCCATGGAAAGCTTCAAAAATGGTTCATTTTAAATTAATTGTTTTGGTGATCTCATGAAAACCAACACATTGACAAACATCCACTTATTCAGCCTACTGCAGTTTAGCTCCACCCACTTAAACTAAAGTTATAAGGAGCGAATATAGAGTTTCAGCCTGGACTGAAAGAGAGGTTGGAAAATAATCATATGAAAATGAATTATGACTTGTTTGTACATAAAACTACACTGACATTCTAAGTGGACCTCAGGGGTGAATATGAAATGTGATAAATAAGGGAAAGGTATGATATGGGCCCTTTAATAAAAGCTCTATGTCGCTATTACCTTCAGGGTAGCTGCAGATGGCATCATCATATTCCTAGTTTTGACTTTAACCACAAAATCATCCCCCTCACAACTTGGCCCTTTTTTACTATGCATTACCTGCAGGCCTGCATGTTGTTTTTTTATGTGGTTCTTAGCAAGGCATAAACATCGAGAAGCTAATGACAGTATTTGATTAGTGAAATCACACCATAAAAAGCAATAGCAAGCCCAGCATCATTCATCTGCAGGGCGGCAATTGGTAGGTAATTGGTCATTCAAAGTCACAGCTTATCAAGGTCAACACCACCATGAGATAAGAGAAGGAAACAAGGATATTACATTCAAGGAAATAACAACTTCAAAGTTTAAACACTTCAAAGTTAGTTAACATGCTTGTTGATCACCTGAAATAGTAATAGCATATACAGGAGATATGATAGCAAGTGTTCTGTTCTCTCCATGTTTCTTTAAGGGTTCTTCAGTAAAGACAATAGTTCTGGATAGGAAAAAAGTGTCAAGTTGTCAAGCTTGTCACAGTATTTCAGTATTTCTTTAACTCTACTTCAAAATATAACTCTTGAGTGAATTGTTCAAATATCATTCAAAATATGGATAATAAAAGAAAATGTTTGGGTATAAAACAAATAAAGCCAATCTGCTTTATTCTATGCTTAGTTTTTTACTTTGAATCTTTATTATTTATCTTCAGGTGCTTTCTGGAGTCATATCTTTGTCTTTGTTTTGGACATAAATGTTTAGTTTCTCTCTTGAATCTTATCACAGAACATTGTTTATTATAGCAAAATGTGGTATGATAAGACCGGCAAGGATCAGGAAATGACACATGCCTTGAAGTTACCTGACATCTTACACATCCTCTTTAATCACATACAGTAGAGTATATAAAATTAACAGATGGGAAGAAAATATTCAAATTCAGATACTCATGATCATTTCAGATGCTATGAAAATCTGTATTTGTCATTGTTGCATAATAATTACATAAAAAAACTAGATTTCACAGGCAGTCTACCTGCCCCCATCCTGCCTGCACAGAGCACACCTTTTCCCATCAAATATTGCTTTGCTTCCTGGTCTACATATAAAGTCAACAGTCATAAACGATTTCAGCCGCACATACATGCATGCCTTTTTAAAAAGTAACACTGGCGTAACATCATAAAAAGAGTTAATTAAAGTATCACTGAGTGCAAACTTTCAGCTCAGGACTCCAGGTGTACACGTACACTGTGTGGCCAAAAGTATGTGGACACCTGACCATCGTGCCTATGTGAGTTTGTTGGATATACATCCCAAAACCATGAGCTTTAATATGGAATTTCATATTAATCCCCTTTGCAGCTATAACAGTCTCCACTAAGGCTTTTCGACAAGATTTTAGAGTGTGTCTGTGACAGTCTGTGTCCGTACAGTCAAAAGAGCATTTGTGAGGTCAGGCACTCATGTTGGTTGAGAAGGCTCATAATCAACATTCCAGTTTCAAACTGGACTGCAGCAAAGTTGGAAGCATATACATATTCTAACATGTTAAATAAATCAACATCAACACAATGTATCATCAACACCATTATTATACGTAAGAAAACTAAAGGAGTTATCAATGCCTGTAAGATAACTGAATAAAATATGTAAGCTATAAGACTGTAACTGTGTTTATGCAATACATTCTATTCAATGTGGGAATGATATACACATTTAAATCAATTGGGAATGCCAAGTATTTGTCAAAATGTCTGTGTAAATCAATCTTTGAGAATAAATTCATTCAGACTGATTAGTGTGAAATGATGCAGAAACTTACTGACTTGGATTTTCTTCACAGTGGTGGTGATAGGAACTAGGGGTTATGATTTCAACAGTGTAAATATAACCATTTTATTTGCTGTCCAAAATGACCAGTGAAGCTACATGTATTTTCTTAAGTTTTATATGTAATGTTGATATTGGTAGCAGTATTAAATCCAATAAAAAGACAGACTCTCTGAACAAAAGAACAAACTCTCTGTGTGTTTTCCTTTTCTTTGCCTTTTTCTTTCTTTGATGCTGTTGCTTCTGCCTTGATCGGGTGCCCACTGCTCGCCAGCCTTCTGGACCGGCTTGACCACCATTGAGCTTCACGCTGTATAACGCTGTGCAAACCTCACCTTCATGAACTGACCCTCCCGATGATGCTGCTGCTGCTGCTACATAAACTCAAACTATCTAATTAACCATTGCTCTGCCTGTTTTTCCCTGTTTTGTATTCTAATATTTTATACTAATGCTGTTTGCTATCCTGTGTCAACCAGAAGAGGATGGGTTCCCCGTTTGAGTCTTGGTTCCTCTCAAGGTTTCTTCCTCTCGCTCTGAGGGAGTTTTTCCTTGCCACTGTCGCCATTGGCTTGCTCATGGGGGCTTGGATCTGGATTTTCTGTAAAGCTGCTTTGTGACAACAGCTGTTGTAAAAAGCACTATATAAATAAACTTTGACTTGACTTGATTTGGCTTCACTATTTGTCCCACAGACAATCCTACCAAAAGTGTAAAAACACTGTCTGTCTCATAGCTTCAGGAATAAGAACTAAAAGAATTAATAAAACAGGAAATGGAACTAAATGTGTGTGTCCAGATTAAATAGGTTATGTTTTGATAAGTTACCTGACATGACAAGGTAAGCTTGAATAGATTTAAATGAGTCACTGGAAACAGCAGGAACAGCCCTCACAAAAAAAAAAATGGGTTCCATACATAGCTCTTTGATGAGATGTCATGAAAAGATAATCATTCCAGGAAAGCAAACCTTTTCTCGTACTTTAGCGGAAACTCACTAGCGATAGTTCAGTCATGCATTAATGCGCTTATTATTCCCAGTTTCCTCAACTTTCTGACAGTGGTTTATCTCCCATCCTGTAAAAAATAGATATAAGAAATAATGCTACAAGTTATATGAGATAAAATACCATTTATTGTGGTCATATAGGCAAAACATACAACACCATATAAAATTTCCAGTATGGAATACAGACAGGATAGAATACAGTACTCAGGGTAAATATACTCTAAATGTAGAAAAATGGTAACTTTGCAAATGCAAAGCAGTACACTAATGAACAAGGAGCAGATAGAGTTTTTTATAGAAAGATGAAACACATTGTATGATAGCTGTCACCTATCTTTCAACAGTTATAAATCAAGGTGTTGCTTCCTCCTTTGATGTCATGACAACCTTTTACCTAATAAGACAAAAGACTGTCAGGAGGAATGCAAAACAATCAGTACTAGACCTATAATTACAAGAGAAACCACACCAGGTAAAGTGTCAGAATGATAGTAACTCTAAAGCTGGTATTGCTGCTACTGTAAGCTTACAGTTACTTAATATTCAACTTTGCTAAATGGGTCTTTTTATGAATCATTTTAGATTCATGGACAATATGAACATAACATAGTGGTATTTTCACCTTTCACAATAAGCAATATGTATCACAAGAATTAGTTTGAGCAATTTTAAATGGGCAAAATGTATAGCGAAACAGTGGCGCCACATTTAAAAAAGGCTATGAAAAACTAGAATACAATGACTTTTTAAATTCAATTGCAAAAAAGTAGTAAAAATGAGTTAATAAAGTAAAATAACATTCAATCAGATACTTGTTAATGCGTAGTACATACCCTTAGTATACACTAATTGTTGTTTACAGACTCTGTGTAACTGTATATTGGTAATATGTTGCCATGATACATGCATTTGTTCAGTGTTCTAGAAGTGCTGACGACAACAACAATATACCACTGCTGTTGGAAGAAAACCTTGTATCTCCAAAATGGTAACTTTACAGAAGAAGGAAAAAACCTAACTTACTTTTAATGTAAGTCAACGGAACCAGACTTTTTTTTACAAGTCATTTTGGCCCATTTCTTTTGGTCCATTCTTCATTAATTTACACACAATGTAAAGGGCAAAAGGCTTTTTAAAACTATGTTAAAAACTGAAAAACGACAAAAATGGAGATACAAGGTTTTCTTCTGACAGCAGAGATACGCAGAAAAGCATATAACATATCTTCATATTGCCGACCTCACAAAGAACTGTACTCTTGACAAGACAAGTACGCTCATACCATACAGAAATAATAGATTGTCCAGTATTAAAGTCCAATATTTAAAACATAAATTGTTTTTAAACTGTGTTTTTATGTTGCCTGTCTAATCTCTTCCAACAGCTTGGGACTCATTCTTGATTCTCTCAGGGAACAGGCGGGTTTGTGTAGCCAGGGCAGCTTTGCGAGTGAAGGTAGTGCAGCGAGTGAGGATCTCCTGGGTTTGTGGTCGAGGGGGCACTCTGGGACCAAGTTTGGAATATCTACTGGTGGGGCTGGGCTGCTCATCAGACAGGCCGCTGTCACCACTGTCTGCTTCTGGATCTTTCTCTGCCTGTCTCAGGGTCTCTTCCCCCTCAGAGCTGGACAGACTCAGACCCAGAGAGCTGGAGGAGCTAAAGCTGAAGTCGGTCTCGCCACTGGCTCCACTGACGATGCTCTTGCGGCTATCAGAGTCGCTGCGCTGGACCTGAGCGTTGTGCTCGGCCGGAGGCTCTGAGAGAACCTCCACAGAGCGGGACTTGTGCAGGCTCTTCGGCCTGACGGAGCACAACTGAGACTCGGTGGAGTAGGAAATCTCCTGCAGGAGGGTGGATGTGGTCGACAGGTTAAGGGTGGAGGTGTGGAGCTTCTTCTGCAGGCTGAAGGTGGGGCTGGTGTATGGCTGCAGATACATGGATGGAACATAGCCTGCCTTTCCATTATGTCTGTAAAGACAGAGTCATACATATTAAAATGAGCTAATTCAGCATCGGTAATAAATAATTCATGAAGGAAAACTCCAACATATTTTCAACTTATTCTCCACCTGTTGTATCTGTAACAAATGTTCAGTTACTATAGACAGTAATTTGACAATAATCTCCTTGTTCATAGAAAAGAACAGAACAGGCAAGGACCCTCATAATAGATTATATCTATTATAATAGAAATCTATTTATTGTTCATGGTAATTTACTGTATGCTACAGATGCTGCAGTTAGACATTAGGTTGTAAATCACTTACAGTATTCTTTTAACCCTTTATAATGTAGGTTTATTATTCACTCATTAATCTTCAGGCGTATTTCCAGTGACTACTACAAATTATTTAGTCACAAACGTATGCATAGTATGTAATTATTAGACTGAGGTATAGAAGTGTAGATGCACAGAGTTTAAGGGGTTAAATTGGTAATAAATTTTTGCTGTCCAAAAAAAAAGCAGCTGTCTTTCACATTGTGTGACAATTTAATAAAAAATGGACCAATAAAAATGCTCCAAATAGTGCTTGGAATACCATGTAGGAGATACTTGTTTATTTTTGGGCAGCAACAAACTGCTTTACTGAAAAACAAGCCATTAAAAAGAAATCATATGAACTGTTATACAATGCTCTCTATTGCACTCTGTTGACTTTGGCATGATGCCACTCCAGTCTATGAAAAAAAATGTGTAGTAGTCAGACACTGAGGACACTTTGGTGTTGTGGTTTAACATTGTTCACATTCAGCACGATACACAGAGAGACAGAGCGAATTACCTAGCGAGCCACCAGCCGTTCTCGGACTTCTGTAGCACCTCCAGTACGGCGCCAATTGTCACCGAAAGCTCATCTTTTGTTTTGGAGGTGTAGCTCCTTACAGCACAGTACCCTAGAGGGCAAAGAAGGAATCTCAATTAAATTTTTTAAACAATACTGATTTATTTCACACTAATAAAATCCAAGGTTATATTTGCATTAACATAACGGACTGCAATTTTTTGAGACCCAGTATCAGTACTGGTGGTATCGAGTAACAGAGTTGCTATTAGCACACCATAACGCTAATTATTAGTACCATTTAGTAGTACTTATTAGTGCTATTAGTGTAAGTATTATTTTGGAAGTACAATTACTTCATTTTAAATAGTCTAATTTTGCCTTCATTTTCTTCTCTTGCTTTAAGATGTGAAAGTTAAAAGCAGCTGTAATGTTTCCTAGTTTTTAAAGAAAAAATCGGATTGGTATCAGTAAGAGTCAGCACTCAGGGTTTCGGTATCGGTGTTGTGAAAGAAAAAGGGCTAACATGCTATGTCTAATTATAACCTTACTCAAAAAACAGAGATACTGAAAATCAGCAAGACCTGGCTGACCTACTTTCAACAACCACATCCAGCTCATCTTCTTCCTCATCTTCTTCTTCACACAACTCCAGGTAGGGAGCAGGAAACCAGGCTAAACGTTTTTCCTCATTCTCCACCAGCCACCAACCTGCAGCGTGCATGAACACACAGACTACTTAATTGCTTTACACTTCTGCATTGCTTTTTTGTATATCACAGGTGCAGCATGATCATCAGTGTTAGTTCGGTTTGATTGGCTCTTGGTAGTATGAAGATGTACAAGAAAACACATACCTGCTTGATCTTTGATGAGCACATCTAATGTTTCATCCACAGTGACTTTAAAAGGTCTGTTCTTGGTGTCCTTGGTCTCATATGGAGCCACACAGCGATATGTTTTGGTGATGAAAGGCTGGGTCACATTTCCAACATTAAGATACTTGTTGGCCGAGTCACTTCCTGTTTGCCCACTAGGGATGTCATCTGACTGGAAAACCATCACACTGGCCAGGACAGACAAGAAAAAGGTTTCACCAGTTCATTAATTAACAGTACAGAATAAGATTGCTGTTAAGGCAAAATGTAGAGTTTAGTGTTCATTCTGTTCTGGTGACTGCTTTGCTGTTTCTCACACCACTCACTTTTCAAGCTTTAGCACTGCATTTTAGATGAAAAGGACATAAAAAACAGAAGAAAATACACATAATAACCTATAGCATAATTCGTACACTGATATATGCTGGATGAAATAAGAAATTCTACAGAAACCTTGAAATAACAAGACTATTACTTAAGGATGGTTTTAGGGTAGAGCTGGGCAATACAACAGCATTTATCATTATTATGATATGCATTTCTCAGCATATCGTGGATATCATCAGTACGTAAAGAACAATGAACAACTTCATGTTCCATTACAAAGAAAGCATAATTAGTACTCTTTAATTGCATTTAGTGCAGCACATTGTGTGAAACTCTAAATAAAACTAACTTCATAGTTATAGTATTCATAATTCATATATTTTTAATGTGGCACCACAGGTTCTTTTTTGGCTGCTTTGTCAAAAAAATATATTGTGACATATTGTGACATATTGTGTATCGTGACAAATTCTTGAAATATCGTAAAATTACCACACACATTGCCACATTGCCCACCACTATTTTAGGCTCATCTTTATTAGTTAGCTTTATTTGCTGAACTAAGCCTACCTGTTTTGTACAAACTCTGGCTGGAGCTCATGCTCATTGGGCAGGAAAAACTGAATGATGTCAATTGCTTGAGTGATGCTGGGGTCACACTGCAGCAGATCAGTGCAGTATTTCTGCAGAGCCTTCACACGGTGCACAGCCCTGGCTGGAGTCCTCTTCTGCAGACTCACCTTAGGCATCCAACCTGCTCAAAAACATCAGAGCCTGTTAACAAACCTTTTAAAACACTCAAAAGGCCAAATTGCCTCGTTGGAAAAGACCAGTGTGATGAACCATTACTGTATTGTAACTGTACCTCCGAATCTGGGCAGCACTCTGCCGCGTTTTCCAAAAGGACTGTCCACTTGGAACTTCTTCTTCAGCTGCCTCTGTTTTGAATTGAGGGGTGAAAGAAACAACAGACGGTGAGCATACTAGCCAATACTGACAAGCCAAGGATGTCTTCAGCTTTAGCATAGTCTTACATGAAACTTCTTAAAGTCCCCGAGTGACCTGTACACGACCACTTCGGTCTGGTCAGACCACAGCACGGATGCCATGTACAACTGGAAGAGAAGGGTGAGCAGGTGATTAGCACAAGATGCATATGAAGGTCTAATGAAAAAACAGGCGAGTTGTAGTTTGTCTTCCAGCAACGCGTCTTACTTTGCTCTTGTCTTTGTATATGATGCCGATGATCCGGACGCTGACAGGGTAGCGAGAATCCCCCATTGTGACTCGCTGTAGGTTTCCTCCAAAACAGTTCAAATACTCTGCTCCCCTCTCCAAGCGCCAAGATTTATCCTCTCATCTACAGTCCATCCTCCCACAGCTGCGGGGCGGAGTGACGGTGCGGAGAGGGTCACGTGGTTTCTGCGAAAAAATAACTGCTCAGAGTACACGTGTGCTCAAAGGGCTGCGTTGCTGATGGGAAGAGCTATTCCGTTTTAACTAACCGATTCTTTCGAACAGATTCACTGATTCGTCCGGATCACCGGACTCAAGTAAAGTCAACTTTCTCGTCACTCCTCATATCCATTAACCTTTCCCTCTGCATAAGAGATGGGCAGGGATATTTCGTAGATGAGAGAAGATCATTTTGGTGGAATTAAATGATTAATTAATTAATTTATTTATAGAAAATAATAACAATACAAAATAAAAAAGACCTGACCTTTTCTACCCAATATGTTTATGTAAAGGCTGTAAGCGTTTATGAGATTTTACATAAGTGGTGGTGTAGCTTTTCTTACCATATACCAGCCGCGAAGCAAACAAACAAAGCTAATATCTTTGATATGTTACATTCTTACCTGCTGCTGCACGTTTGATTTAACTACTAATCTAAATCTTGAAATCTGTGGGGTTTTTTTTTATCTTTAAATACACTTTTTTGTTTTATTTTGTAGTTTATTTCGATATTTCGATTATATTTTATAAATGTATCAAAAAGGTTTTTGATATTTTGCCCATCCGTGTATACATACAAAGAGAGTCGGTTCAGCAATGGAGAGGTAAGTCACTATTATTATATTCTCTAATGGAGGCGCGAAATAAACGAACATATAATATGAGAAAGCTCGTCTGAACAAAGAAAATATAAAAAAAAATTAAACTAGGTTATTCTTAATATGCTGCTGCGGCTATTTATGTTAGAATTGTATATGATTGAATTATTAAAGATTAATCGAATCAATATGCTATAAGCGATAACACGGACGTCACTTTATAGATGCTTCAAAAAAGATCGATTCAGTTGTGAATCAGTTCGACTCTTAAAGAATCAATACTTTGAGCAGTCGGACATCGCTCCTGCTGAGTTTAGTGAGGTGACTAGCAGTGTGTGGACTTCAGAGGGGATTAGCGGTGTGTGGAGGGTCATTGCTCCCCTCGTGGTCGCCCTCTGGACACTTTCTGTGAGGAAACAGAGTCTGGCTTGGGCTCTACCACTTTATCTTTATGTAGCTATGTTTACTCCATGTGTATTCTTTAGCCAGAGTAAAGTAGAAAAGATATGAACAGGAGTCATATGTAGGGCTTTCCTACTGTTAAAAGATCAAAACAAAAACCTTACCCTTGTAAAACTGCAATACTCCCTTTCCATGCTTTTAGATTAATGATGTTATTCATATAAAGACCTGTATTACCCACATTTAAATGATTCACAGTTGCAGAAGGACATGTCACTTTGCCTTAAAGGGGAATTCCACTGATTACTCAAAATTCGTGCATAATTAAATGATTGAGATGTAAACAAAGTCGGTCAGAGTGATTGGAGATGAAATGCAGCATGTAAGAGTACTTACATAGAGAGAAATTGTTCACAGTGGTGGTGATAGGAACCAGATGTCCAAAGTGGTAAAAGCCTCTGAAAGCTCCTTTACAGAAAAATGTTACACAAAATTGTCACGAATACACTGCCTGATGCCCGAGACATTGTTTTATGATAGTTTTATGAAAAGCTTTTGGCCTAAAATGTATTTTTAAGACATGCTGGGCAGGGAGGTACATGTAGGTATTGTAGGGCATTACAGTACCCAAACAAAACATATAATGTATGAATTTCCTACTGTTGTACCCTTATCAATAGTACATATTACAACTATAAAAACATGTATAGGGGCACTGGTCATTTTGGAGAGTAAATAAAGTGGTTGCTGTTGTTACCCCTGGTTCCTATCACTACCACTGTGAAGAAAATTTGACATGGGAAGATTCTCTATTATGCGCCACTTCACATCAAAGCACTCTGAATAATTTGTGTTTAGTTTTCTTATAAAAAGGCAAAGCACTGCTAATCTTTCTCATGTTTCACCGATTTCTCAAATTGTCTGTATAATTAAATAGTTCTGATATAAATAAAGTCGTTTAGAGTGGTTTGATGTAAAATGCTCTATTCTAGAGAAACTTGTTCACAATGGTGGTGATAAGAACCAGAGGCCACGATTTTACGTATCATTAATCCGTAAAAGAATTTCTTTTTTCTTTAAATGTTTTGCAATTGAAGAATTTGAGGCATGCATGGCCTGAGGGAAGAGAGATACTCCCACTGTTTAACATTCCTTAATAAAACTAGATTTCTATCAGTGCTGTACTTACAAAAACAAATCGAATGTATGTCATACGATTGCAAGCAACCGCAAATCAATATATATTGTATTGAGCTGGCTGAACTTAGTACTTAGTAACCCCCCTGTTTGGCAAGTGTGACAGCTTGTAAACTCTTTTTGTATCCAGCTAGTCTTTCAGTTCTTGTTTAGGGGATTTTTGCCCATTCTTCCTTGCAAAAAACTTGTAGTTCTGTGAGATTCTTGGGCCGTCTTCCATGCACTTTTGAGGTCTGTCCACAAGTTCTTGATGATGTTTAGGTTGGGAGATCCATGGCAAAACCTTCAGCTTCCACCTCTTGAGGTAATCCATTGTGAATTTTGAGGTGTTTTCAGAATAGCTTTTTTACAGATGGTGTGCCAGAGTGGTGAGTCAGAGTATTTGTAAAGCTTTGAAATTTGCATCACTTGGCCTTTCCTAATGAAATGTGTAATAAAACTTTGGGCCTGCCGGTGGGCCCTGGCCATTTAAGCAGGCTTTAGAGCTATGATTAATCCTTGTGTGTGTGCACATGAAAGCATGATATTTATGATAAACTAACAATGGTGTGAAACATGAGGAAGAGTCAAGCTTCTTATTTTTAAAAAAGGAAAAACTAAATAAATATGTAGAAAGTAAAGCATTTATGACAGTATAAAAGGAATGCTGTCTCCACTGCCAGTGCATTAATGCTTACTGGAGTAATTTTTGCTTTATATTCTTAACATCTACATAGTATGATTTGCTTCCTCTGCCACAAATCTCACAAAGAAAAAAAGTCAGTGGAGGGCTCCACCTCCGTCAGTTGCTGATTGGTCCAAGAGCTGTTTATGATCCAAAATCGTGAACTTAACCTGTCCTTAAGGTGGGGGGTAGTCATGGAGCACAAGTTGCTATGGTGATATAGCCTGGTAAAAGTGCTCCACCACTGTGAGCCAGAAAATCCATGGTTAGATCGAACTAAGCTTAAGATACCTGGTTAAGCTTGGTGAGACAGACCCCAGTTCAAACTGATCAAACTTAGCCGAGACAGTAAGCAATGTGAAAATGCTTATATAAGTGTGATTTGCCATGGCTAGATATGCCCAGCAGACTTTTGGAGACATGCGGAAAAAGGCACTGGTGTGTGTGTATGTGTGTGTATGTGTGTGTTTGTGTGTGTGTGTGTGTGTGTGTGTGTGTGTGTGTGTGTATTTGAGACACTCCCATTAACTCAAAAATAGGCCTATCATGTTTGCTAGCTCTTTGGGGTAATATGTGCATATGTGATACTGGCTTTCATGCACTCTTTGAATCATATTGAGGCCTTCCTTGTTTCGTTCTCCCAAAGTAAGTTTTCCGAAAAGCAGCTGCTTTGGATTCCTGTGTTCATCCATGCAAATGATATGACCTGTCCATGGAAGTTGTGCCTTAAGTATCATTCCTTCAATGTTTGTGGTGTTTGCACTGTCATTCATTTTTTTAGTTTTGCACTGGAGGCACAAGGATAATATAACTAAAAAGTTCCATTACTTTTTAGCTACATAACTTTGTCTACATAGACTTCTATTCTATTGTCCTCGTAGCTCTTCTGCAAAACTGCACAATGACAGAAGCTGATTAGATTTTTTTTCACTGATGCAAAATAATACTTTTATTCTTCAAACCATTTCAGGGGTTTATTTGAGTTAAATAAAAGCAGTAATTACTTGTTACCACATTAAGAATTTGTTTTAGGTTGAACTGGCAAACAATTTTTAGTAACTTCAGGCACCAAACTTGTCTCGACTGATTACATTTTGGATAAATTTGGGTAAATTAGATTTTTTTGGTGCAACATTCCTTTCATTTTACAGCAATTTATTTATTTTAATGTATAGACTATGATCAGGAATACTTATCAAGAAATATTTGTCAAATTATGGTAGAGTTTCCATCTTTACAATAGATGTTGAAATGGCTTTTACCTTTTTGCACACAATTGCGAAGATAAATGTTCATGTACTCACATGCGTACATACTTTTACTTTTACATTCCACTGCTGTTACTGAGTTTTGCTAAATCAGTAAGAGAAACCCATATTACCTACAGTTAGGTCTGTTGGAGGTCAACAAAGTTGTTTTAGCTGTCTACCACAGCATGGTTAAGTTGAAATTAAATTACAGAGTTGGCCTTTAATTTGACAGTATTTACATCCAAATTGCATGAATGGTGTAGAAAATACAACCATTTTCAGCTATTTTGGACAAACTAACAATCATAAATTAAACTGTCATTTTAATACTTCATTAAAATTACTACATCTTTACTACAGCGGTCTGCGAGTCATTGTCCATCTGCCCTGTGAAACACCGTCCAATGAGTTTTGAAGCATTTGACTGAATTTGAGTAGATAATATAGCCCTTCAGAATTCACCCTGTCACATCGTCAACAAATACAAGGGAACTGGTTCCATTGGCAGCCATAAATGCCCACATTATAACACTACCCCCACCATGCTTGACAGATGAGATGGTGTGCTTAGGATCATAAGCAGTTCCTAGCTTTCACTATACTCCTCTCTTCCCATCATTCTGGTACAAGTTGACTCTAATCTGATCTTTGTATTTTTCTTTGTATTTACATCTTGCAGTAAACCCCTGGTATTTACTGTGGAGAAGTCTTCTCTTGATGACTTTGAGATACACTTCACTCCTGGAGGGTTGCACACCTCCCTCTGGCTCTGTAGTCAGTA